CCGTGCAGGCCGAGCAGGTGGTACCGTGGTGCCGAGCGATGGCGCTCACCCGGCCGAACGTTCCGTGGAGGGATCGTGGCATAGGGCGGTGGAAAACCATTCCGGAAAACTAAATTGCGTGTGTGTGTATATAATACATTAGAGTTCCGTTAAATAAAATAAAAAGTATATCCAAATATGTTATGTCTGCCAATAGAGGAAGGGCTCTCCCCCACGCCTTGTCGCTCGTGATTTTATTCACCATACTTCACCGCATGCTGGCCACCGCGGATTGTGGTTTGCATAGCATCGTATTCATTGCATCTGGAATGAAATCGTCAGCGGCCGAGGTGCCGCGGTCGAACCACTGCTGAATGAGTGGCCGCGCTCCCGTACCGTCCCGCCCCTGTGCACACCAGTCAATCGCAGCCTAGGGCACTTCCAATTAAATACGCGTCAAGAATAATAATATTAATTACCTGTTATTTCTTTAAATCTCAAAAAATTGTCTGAAACCACAACTAGGCCATCGAAATATTGTGCGGGGTGTTGGAGCTGCTGCCCTCTTCCCCCGCCACCCCCCTTGTCCCCCCCCCAGAGCGCCATGGTGGTTAGGAGATGTTAACTACCTCGCTTGGTATGCAGGAGGTTGTGGGTTTGATCCCGATCCTGGCATCTGCTATATATTTGGAGTCTGCGGTGTCTCTCTCTCCCTGTGGCCGCGTTGATTTTTCTCTGGGTCCTCCGGTTTTTCCTTACCACCTTTAGAATCAACGTCGCGTGTGTATTTGGCTGCTATAAATTTCTGCGTGATGATGATAAGCCCACTTCGTTGAGCTATCATTTGTGGCCAGGTCGCTTCTGAGAAAGAGCTACATTGCTCAGTGGGCCCTTACCTGGTCAAATAAAAAATAATTGTTTTAGAGCAGCAAGAGAGTGGTAGCGCATCGGGCGTTGGTGCATGAGTGGGGGGTGGGGGGGGGGTTGCGGAAGATAGGAGGAGGGGGGGGGGCTCGCAGGCTCAACACGCCGCGTGTTTACTTAGCGAGGGCTTCTGTGCCGTTAACGGGTGCCGGGTTGACACTTCGCGGAGAGCGTTGCGGCGGAGCAGTTCCTGCCGTTAATCTTGCCGACTCGCCGGCCACTTTGTGTGCGCCGTGGGGCCGGCCATTGTAAAGAAGAAGGGCAGCGGCGCGCTTGAGTGTCGCGCTGGGGGGGGTCCGGCCTTTGTCGGGCCCCCGCATTGGGAACCGCCGAACAAGAGAAGGAATTTTTACTGGGTTCCGCGGGATCGCCGCCGTGCCGGGAGGCCCGCACACGCATGTGTGCTCGCTCTCGCACACGTGTGTGTGTGTGTGTGCAAGCGCGTGTGTGTGTGTGTGTGCAAGCGCACGTGTGTGTGTGCACGTGTGTGTGTGTAAGCGCACGTGTGTGCACGCACGCGCACGCGTGTGCACATGCTCGTTCAATTATCTCGTCAACGACGCGTTTAAGAGGCGTTTTGCGAGAGTTGGGCCCGGTGGCACGGGGAGGGCAGCGGGGTCGGGGGGCGGTGGGGGAGGGGGGGGATGATGATGATGATGCGTCACAATGTGCCACAATGCGCCGAGAGACGGCAACCGGTCGCTGCAGGCCTGGGTTCAAATCCGGACTGGCCGCCCGCGATGATAAACAGCAGCAGCAGCAGCAAATGACTGCAAACGCAAAAAAAAAAACTATCGGCAAATTATATTGATTTTTATTTGGCCAATTAACGGCAAATAACGGCTGTACGGTAAAAAAAACCCTCCACGTTAGTTGATTTCCCGCTTCACTCGGCGCGTTCCCAGTGACAGAGGTACAAACTGGTGTCGGCGCGACCGCTGTGCGTGGCAACGCTGCTCGTGGACGTGAGACTCCACCGATGCCTCTGTGACGACGACGATGACGTCACCTTCTGGAGTCGTCGCCCCCCCCCCGCAACACGAGGTGGTGCACTGCGCACTGTGAAATTTACCAAATAAAAATTTGGTCACGTGACCTGCACTCGCAACGTACAACTCGACGATCCGCGGGCTTGGAGATCCCTACGTAGCCTGGCAAAGAGACTGCTTGACTCTGCAGGATTACACGGCGGACCTCCTCGAGTTTAAAGATACCCATAGGCTTATATAGGGCCACAAAGACGTCTGTCGAAACCTGTATAGAAACTAAAAAAATAAATTGCTTCAAGACACACGGAAAGTGCATGCTGGGTAAATACAATGTTATTCAGTGAACTGGCACAGCGTGTTAGAATGCGCGTATGGGTGTTAGAACGCACGCTTGAGTGTTAGAGCGTACCTATTGTGTGCGAGCGGTTACGTCTGTTACCTGGGTCTTATGCAAGCCGATGGCTTTCTGTGTAAGTTTAGTAGTCTCTGTGTACGACTATGGGTTGTTCTCTAAGTCTGGATTCCCATTTATGTCTATGGGTCTGTATGTAATTATAGAGATTTCCATAAAAGTTATTAGAGCCCTATGCAAGTCTTTCGATATCTCTACCTCTATCGGTCTGTAGGGGTCTGTATGTAAGCCTATTGGTTTCCCTGTTGCTTCATGTATAAATATATGGGTTTCAATATCTGTCGATGCGTTTATTTGTCTCCGCTTTCCTCTGTAAGCCCATGGGTCTCAAGACAAGCCTATAGGTTTGTTGGCAAATGCGTATATGGGTCTCTATGTACGTGCTTAGGTTCCTTTGCCTACGGGTTCCTGTGCGAGGCGACGTGCTGTCTGCTTTTCCTTGTCGAGGGCAGCACGCGGTAACGATGGCGACCAGCGCGCCGCATTTTCCGCGGGGGCTGTGGCTCTCGGTGCAACTCTGGGGACCCGTGTAGTAGATCCCTGCCGGGCTCCCTGCGCCCGGTGCTCTTCTGCGCATTGCCAAATCTCGCGACCGCTGAGCCGCGGCGAGGCTCCCTCGGCGCGCTGGCCTCCGCCGGCGACGAGTAACACAAACCGGCCGGGGGGGGCTACGTAACAGTCGCGTGCGTTCACGAGGGCCCCTGCCCCCCCGCGCCCCCCCCCTCACCCCCCCCTCGGCCGCCCGAAGTCTCGCATCGAGCTGGCGATGAGCGTAGGGGGAGGACGGACGATGGGGGTGGTGAAGGGATGGCAGGCGGGCGAGCGGGTGGATAACGGGGGTGGACAGGTGGAGGTGGGTGTCTGTGGTGGACAGGTGAAGGTGGATGTCTGTGGTGGACAGGTGGAGGTGGATGTCTGTGGTGGACAGGTGGAGGTGGATGTCTGTGGTGGACAGGTGAAGGTGGATGTCTGTGGTGGACAGGTGGAGGTGGATGTCTGTGGTGGACAGGTGGAGGTGGATGTCTGTGGTGGACAGGTGAAGGTGGATGTCTGTGGTGGACAGGTGGAGGTGGGTGTCTGTGGTGGACAGGTGGAGGTGGGTGGCTGTGGTGGACAGGTGAAGGTGGATGGCTGTGGTGGACAGGTGAAGGTGGATGGCTGGGGGTTAACAAGTTTGCGGTGGTGGGCAGGTGCTGGTGCTCGACAGTTTGGAAGCGTGAGCGAACGTGACGAGCCGGCTCCTGCGCGTTGCCTCCGCTCGCGTCACCGTGAGCGCGTCTCTCTCTCTGTCACCGGTGCCGTGTTGTAGCGACCCACGTCAGCGACCCGCGGCACGCTGTGACGGCACGGCCTGAACAAGCGCACGTTTGCCGAGAGTCGAGCCTGGCGCAGGTTCTGCGGCGTTCCGGTCCGGACCGGCGGGCGCCGGGAGAGCGCGGCGCTCCAAGAACGGCGAGCGGCGTGAGCTATCGCTTCCTTATCTCCTCCGTCCAAAGAATTTGGAAATCGGCAAACAAAACGCCGCTCGCTCCGGGTCCGGTGGCAGCGGCAGCGGTAGCTCAAACGACGGTCGCTGTTTGCCCTCGTGCGTAGCGGCCGGGCCGAGCGCCAGCATGCTGCCACGTTTTGCGATGGTGAACGATCGTGCGACGATGGGTTGTGTTATCACGATTGCCGAGCCACGGAACCAGGGGCACGAAGTGCCGAGCGGTCTCGCGCCGAAGCAGCAGCGGCGCGACCAAAGTGCGTTGTGTGTAACGCGAGTTCCCACGATTCTTCGGATCGAGGGAGGCTGTAAGAACCTGGGAGAAGAGGCGAATTTCTAAGTGCGGCAGAGCGAGAGGAAGAAGCAGAAAGAGAAGTGAGGTGGTGACCTGCAGTGCGGTGATGGTGGTTGTGATCGTGGTGGTAGTGGTTGAGGCGAAACAATCCGTCCGTGTAACTTGGATGTAACGAGTCTGCAGCCTTCATCACAATCAATTTACTAAGCTTTATTCGGGTTTAACGCAGTCAAACGTGGCGTGGGTAAAGTTAGAATGCGAAGTCAGCCCGGTGGTGGATGGGCTCCTAAACGCGGGTGGAGGAACCGTTGAGTGAAGTTCATGGGAACGGCGACTGCGTTCGTAGCAATGGAAGAGTGATGATGATGGCGGCGGCGGTAATGATGGTGGCACCATGTGCCTCTCCATTCCTCTCGCCGTGGCCTGGGCCATCCGGTGACAGGAGGGGGGGTTGGGTGGGGGGTGGTGGTGGTGGGGGGGGGGCACATCCCACGTCGGGTTAACTGGGGGAATCGGGGTACCGCGGGAGACCTGCGCCCTGACGTTGCTTTAATTTGTCAGATTACCTGGAAAAAAAAACCCTCGCTCCATTCACGGCGGCTCGCACGCTCGCTGGCGGCGATCGCCAAAACAGAGGCCGCGGGCTCCCACAATCCCCTCGGACAACGCTCGCCCCAGAGCCTCTGCGGCACAAAAGCCCCGGCGACGTTGAGTGATCGACCCACAATCGGCGCGCGCTGCGCTGCCGCTGAAAGGCGCGGCCGCTCCCCTTTGTGCACGGCGGGAGCGGCGTGCGGGGAGACGGCTTTCGGCGGACAAAGCCCACCCCCCCCCCCCCGCGCTCTCGCATAAAGACGCGTGGTCGCGCGGGCCGCCGCGGGGTTTTTAACGGGGCGGTTCCGGCGCGTCGCCCAGGATTTGCGTGATCACCGTGGCCGAGTCGCATCCCGTGCTGGGCGGGGGGCGCGACGTCGCCGCCGTGGATTACCAGATCAGCGCCGGTTGCAGCCGCCTCGACAACCGCGTCTCCGGGAAGAGCAAGCGGGTACGCAACCCCCACCCTCCCACCGCTCTCCATCGCCCCCCTGCCCCCGCAGCCCGCGCACCCCCACCCCCATCCTCCTCCCTCCCCGCACCACCGCTGCAGCCCGCACCACGCAACAACCGCAGCCCCCCCCCCCTACCTCGGCGCTCTGCTTTCCAAACACAGCAAACGTTCGTCGATGTTTCGGTGGCGCGACCCCATTTCGAGTTGCACCGCCGCGTTCCGTTTGCCGCGGCCCCCTTGCTCTCGGACGTCGCCCGCTCTTCGTGGGTTTGGGGGGGGGGGGGGTCGTCGTCCCGCGTGTCGTTTCGGCGCGACGTCCGAAACGTCACGGACGCCGTTGCCCACGCGGCACAGGCCGGGAGGGCGCGTCGCCGGAGAGCGGCGGCGATCTGACCACTCGGGCCCCGTTTGTTTTTGTTCCGCAGGGCGGGCAGTTTCTCACCGAGTTCTCTCCTCTGTGCCGCATCACCTGCACGAACGGGGAGCAGTACACGATCTACAGGTACCGCCTCCGTGTACGTCGTTTAGGGGCGTTTATTTACTTTTCCGCCACGATTGTCGCAGCTTTTCAATCCTGTCCATTTAATTACAAGTTGGCCTGGACCCTAAGACGAAAACATTTTTTTAAAAATGTATTCCGCCAAGAATCCAGAGTGCACGAGGGAATGGGAGCACCGGGCGTGCGCAACCCACCGCGTTTATTCTCCCCGGCAAAAGCCTCCGTCTTCCCGTCTTCCCGTCACCGCGTCCACCCGGAGGAAAAAATAGAGAGAGAGAGGTGCAAGGTCGTGGGGGTCACGGGCTAACAAACGGCCACATGCCACTGGGCAGCAGTGCAGCAATTCCCCAGCTCATACCCCGGCTCTCTGCGCGACCTAACCCTGACCTGGGCAGTGAAGGCGCACGCACAATTACGGCCTCCATCGTTAGGCCTGTCAACATGTGGCGTGCCGGCTTCTCGCTTCACTTGAGTCCTCCTCCCTCCCTTGTGCCGCTGCTGCGGCTGCATCAGGGGATGGCAGGGGCGGCGAGGGAGCCGTGCGTCCAGGGGTCGAGCGGTCACTTGTTTTTTTGCTCGGCGACGGTTAGCGGCACATCTGGAACCGCGTGTGCCGGGCCCGCGGGTCGTGTTCCCATCCATCCGTGCGTGCGTCCGTGCGTCCTGTCGCTTGTGTAAGCGCAGCTCGGTGACACGCGGCCGCCCCCCCCCCCACACGCACCCCTTACCCCCCCCACCACCCCCATCCCACTCCGCCCCCGCCCCCCCCTGGCCCAAGTTTGATGGGGGGCGCGAGGCCCGGGTGCTCCCGTGGAGAAAGCGTTTGTTCGTTGAAAATCCGTTTTCTTGGAAAACGAGCGCGGGGCTGTGCGACGGCGGCGGCGGTGGCTGACGTCACCGCGTGCGCTTTTGTCTCCCCCGCTGCAGCTGCATCCGCGGGCGACTCGTGGAAGTGAACGAGAACCTCATCGCAAATCCGCACCTCGTCAGAGACAAGGTGCCACCTCCTTTGCGGGAAGCGGGGGGGCCCTGGCAAAACGCGCACCGGCGGCGGCGATTAGCGGTCGCGCAGGACAACGGTTGCAAGCGGCGGCAGCGGCGGTACCGCCGCTAGCAAGCAACGAAAGCAACAGCATTACGAGTGGCAGTCGCAGCAGTAGCAATAAACACAGCAGCGGAAACAGCAGCGGCAGCAGCAGTGGTATCAGCAAAGGCAGCAGAAACAGCAGCGGCAGCAGCAGTGGTATCGGCAAAGGCAGCAGAAACAGCAGCGGCAGCAGCAGAGGCGCATGTACGACTCTGCTGCTGCCGCTGTGTTTGCGAGCGAGCCAGCGAGCGGGTAACGGGATCTGCGCGTTGCACAACCGCGCGCACCCAACACAAGCGCGCAGATGACGACGGCTGCATCTGATTGACCCTGATTATGTAACGCCAAGTCGCGCGTGTGCCCGCTCCTAGCCCGCTCCTAGCCTGCTCCTAGCCCGCTCCTAGCCTGCTCCTAACCCGCTACTAGCTCGCTCCTAACCCGCTCCTAAACCGCTCCTAGCCCGGTCCTAGCTCCTAGCTCGCTCCTAAACCGCTCCTAGCCCGCTCCTAGCCCGGTTCTAGCTCACTCCTAGCTCGCTTCTAGCCTACTTCTAGACCACTCCTAGCCTGCTCTTAGCTCACTCTTAGCCCGCTCCTAGCTCGCTTTTAGCCTGCTTCTAGCCCACTCTTAGCGCGTTCCTCGTCCGCTCCTAGCCTGCTTCTAGCCTACTCCTAGCCTGCTCTTAGCTCGCTTCTAGCCCGCTCCTAGCATGCTCTTAGCTCGCTCATAGCACGCTTCTAGCCTGCTCCTAGCCCGCTCCTAGCTCGCTCCTAGCCTGCTCTTAGCTCACTCCTAGCCCGCTCTTAGCTCGCTCATAGCACGCTCCTAGCCAGCTCCTAGCCTGCTCCTAGCCCGCTTCTAGCCTACTCCTAGCCTGCTTCTAGCCTACTCCTAGCTCCCTTTTAGCCCGCTCCTAGCCCGCTCTTAGCTCGCTCATAGCACGCTTCTAGCCTGCTCCTAGCTCGCTTCTAGCCTGCTCCTAGCCCGCTCTTGGCTTGCTTCTAGCCTGCTCCTAGCCCACTCCTAGCCTGCTTCTAGCCTGCTCCTAGCTCGCTTCTAGCCCACTCCTAGCTTGCTCTTAGCTTGCTCTTAGCTCGCTCATAGCCCGCTTCTAGCCTGCTCCTAGCCTGTGCGTACGACCAACCCCCCGCGCTCGGCTGGCAGCTACCCCCCGCGCCCGCTGTCGTCGCCAGGGCAAGGGGAGTCCAATGAAGTCAGCTGTATTGCGCTCTTGGCCACCTCTCCAAATGACAATGATGATGACAGTCATTTTATTACTACGACTACAACGACACCGACTGATGCTCGCCACGTAAGTGGTGGTGACGTCGCCGCGGCGCTTGCGCCAGCCTAGATGCACTAATGCTACGCCGTAGTTGTCGGCAGCAATCCTTGGTCAATCCACTGCTGGATGAAGGACTCGGCAAGCCGCGGCCATTTCCCACGATGGCGCGATGTAACACTCTCTCTTCTCGTGAGACGTGATCCTGGCTTTCCTTCCACTCAGCTCTGCCCATGACGAAGTGTGATAATGCCCGCGATTGCGCAACGCCTGAAATGTGCGTCCAGAATAGTGAGACGCAAGCCTCCGCACAAGGATGTGTCAGTAGGTGAAGAGACGACTTCTACTGATAAGTCTGTAACCCATGCCGGTTGAGGTTTTGGAAAACATTGTGCAATGATTAAATGGGGTGGGCGGGGTGTAACTTGGCATTATTTTTGCCCAGATTTTTCCTGCGAGATAGCAGACGGCACAGCGTGCCCTTGCACAGTTGCACATTAGAAGAGCGGCAAGCTGTCGCTCTCTCTTCGCATTGCTCGGCGAACCACTCGGGGGGCCACTGCCGGGGCCTTTAGGGGCCGGATGCGGCCCGTGGGCCGCCGGTCAAAGCTCCCTGCCATGTGTGACGCCAGCAGCTGCATCTTGCCGAAACTGACGGCTCCAATTAATCCTTCCCCGTGTTGCTGCTGCTGCTGCCCACTCCTCCTCCTCGTGCCACTCCCTTGAACCCTAACCTCCCCACACCCCCACCATCCATCACCCGAACCGACGGCTGACGAGCGCCCGCGTGTCCCCCCTGGCAGCCGTCGTGCGAGGGCTACATCGCCGTCGTGCTGCCCAAGTTTGAGGAGAGCAAGAGCGTGACCAGCGGCCTCTGCGACCACGCCGAGTACCTGCGGGTGGTGGCGACGCGCGCTGCCGCCGCCGCCGCCGTCCCTGCTGACGGTGACGTCACCGCCGGAAGCGCCGCCGCCGCCGCGACCCCAAGCGCCGACGGTCCGACCGACGATGAAGTTTGCGAAACCGATGGAGCCAAGACGGAAGTGCAAGACGTCGTCTCTCAGAGCGACGTGTCTAAGCCCGACGCGTGTACGGTCGACGGCGGTGAGATTGACACCTGTAAGATCGGTGTCTAGATGACCGACGTCTTGCGGTGGCCGCTGTTGTTGCCTCTGTGCGAGCGACGCCTGTGACCGCCGGTGTCTGTGACGACGATGCCGCCAGTACGATGAGATCGTCCCGGCCGTCGCCGAGTTTTCCGTGAGCATCGAGGTAGCTTTTTATTTCCGTTTAAATTTGTCGACGATGTTGTTACTGCTGCCGAAGACAGCCCCCCCCCACCCCCCAGTGTTCTGGCTCATTCACAAAAAAATGCACTGGCCGTGTTTCTTTTGATATATCTACTGTTGGTTTATTTCACTAAATACTTCGGCATCGCGGGACGAAGATTTTTTTCAGACCTCTCGCAGACAGCGGTGCAACCACTTCCTGTTAAAAAACAGCGCGCAAAAGCGGATGTCGCACAACTACCTCCGAGATCCGTTGAGGCGACCGTGACCGGTGCTGAGTGCATCGGTTCGCTGCACTCGAGAAGCCGGTTTCATCGGGAGGCAACGGCTGGAACCCGGATTCGAACCCAGGTTCCCGGCGGTGCCGGCCCTGTCGTCCTCTGACCTCCGAGGCAGCCGGCCACCACCACAGAAATATCCAAGTGAATTAGCTGTTCGCTGCATCTGAAATGTTATTAAAAAAATCTCCCTTTTGTCATTTACTGTTTGTGCAAAGATACAATTTGATTCGCATTCCTTGAAACATATCCCGGTATCTGCCGCGTTTATGAACTTTGCACGGCAGAGATAATACGTGAGGATTTCGCCGGCGTTCGTTACGCTCGTCACACTTTTGTGTGTTTTGCTTCACGGTGACCGGGACGAGACCATCAACACGCTACGCTTTTAGAAAACCTCGCTTAATCGCAACTCCCCTCTGCGCGAGCCCGTGGCTCTCCCCGCGAGTCTCATGTCACGTATTCTCAGTCACGGCTCCGGCTCAAGTGAGCCGTGCTTTTACCAGAGCTGGCTCCGAGCACGGTCCCAGACTCGCTCAGCCAGAGCCACGGCTGAGAACACGGACTCCGAGTGTCCCTCCGCGTGAGTCGTCGGTGACCGGTACCCCAAGTGGTTCAGGGTGAAGCGGGGGGGGGGGGGGGGAGTGTTAAACTCTGCAGGGCTGAAGGCGTTGGTGCTCGCTGATGCTTCTGCTGCTGCTTCTGCTGCTGCTGCTTCTGCTGCTGCTGTTGTTGTTAACGGCGAGGCCGTGGCAGAGTTGGTGGGGAGGGCCTCGCTCCGCTCCTGCCCCCCCCCCCCCCCGTGCTCTTTGCCCCACGGTGCCACGGCACGACTGGGAACCCTGCCACGGCAAAGGAGACGCGCGTTCCTGCCACGGGTCGCACCCCCCCCCCTCTATCCCCCTCGACCCCCACCCCTCTTTTTCCCGGGAACCGAATGAAGAGTGGCACGGGCGAGGGGGGCACAGCGCTGGGCCGTGACGATGGCAGCCGCATTCCGTGTTTTTTTTTTTACTGCGGAGAGCCCCGGGACTTGGCGAGTTTCACTCCAGCGTCAAGTGAAGTGAGGAGCACAGACAACTCCCCCCCCCCGCCTTGGCCAAGCCGCATTGACCGGCGCGGTGAAGTATGGTCAGATATCGCCCGCGCGTTCTGACGCAACGCGGGGGGGAGGGAGGCCCTCATCCAGCAGTGGATTGACAAGCGGGCTGTGTGTGTGTACGTGTTGGATTGACAAGCGGCTGTGTGTGTACGTGGTGGATTGACAAGCGGGCTGTGTGTGTGTGTACGTGGTGGATTGACAAGCGGGCTGTGTGTGTGTGTACGTGGTGGATTGACAAGCGGGCTGTGTGTGTGTGTACGTGGTGGATTGACAAGCGGGCTGTGTGTATGTGGTGGATTGACAAGCGGGCTGTGTGTACGTGGTGGATTGACAAGCGAGCTGTGTGTGTGTGTACGTGGTGGATTGACAAGCGAGCTGTGTGTGTGTGTATGTGGTGGATTGACAAGCGGGCTGTGTGTACGTGGTGGATTGACAAGCGAGCTGTGTGTGTGTGTACGTGGTGGATTGACAAGCGGGCTGTGTGTACGTGGTGGATTGACAAGCGAGCTGTGTGTGTGTGTACGTGGTGGATTGACAAGCGGGCTGTGTGTACGTGTTGGATTGACAAGTGGGCTGTGTGTGTGTGTACGTGTTGGATTGACAAGTGGGCTGTGTGTGTGTGTACGTGGTGGATTGACAAGCGGGCTGTGTGTGTACGTGTTGGATTGACAAGTGGGCTGTGTGTGTGTGTACGTGTTGGATTGACAAGTGGGCTGTGTGTGTGTGTGTGTACGTGGTGGATTGACAAGCGAGCTGTGTGTGTGTGTATGTGGTGGATTGACAAGCGGGTTGTGTGTGTGTGTGTACGTGGTGGATTGACAAGCGGGCTGTGTGTGTGTGTACGTGGTGGATTGACAAGTGGGCTGTGTGTGTGTGTGTACGTGGTGGATTGACAAGCGGGCTGTGTGTGTGTGTACGTGTTGGATTGACAAGTGGGCTGTGTGTGTGTGTACGTGGTGGATTGACAAGCGGGCTGTGTGTGTGTGTGTACGTGGTGGATTGACAAGCGGGTTGTGTGTGTGTGTGTACGTGGTGGATTGACAAGTGGGTTGTGTGTGTGTGTGTACGTGGTGGATTGACAAGCGGGCTGTGTGTGTGTGTGTGTGTACGTGGTGGATTGACAAGCGGGTTGTGTGTGTGTGTGTACGTGGTGGATTGACAAGCGGGTTGTGTGTGTGTGTGTACGTGGTGGATTGACAAGCGGGCTGTGTGTGTGTGTGTACGTGGTGGATTGACAAGCGGGCTGTGTGCGTGTGTGTGTACGTGGTGGATTGACAAGCGGGCTGTGCGTGTGTGTGTACGTGGTGGATTGACAAGTGGGTTGTGTGTGTGTGTGTACGTGGTGGATTGACAAGCGGGCTGTGTGTGTGTGTGTACGTGGTGGATTGACAAGCGGGTTGTGTGTGTGTGTGTACGTGGTGGATTGACAAGCGGGCTGTGTGTGTGTGTGTGTACGTGGTGGATTGACAAGCGGGCTGTGTGTGTGTGTGTGTGTACGTGGTGGATTGACAAGTGGGCTGTGTGTGTGTGTACGTGGTGGATTGACAAGCGGGCTGTGTGTGTGTGTACGTGGTGGATTGACAAGCGGGTTGTGTGTGTACGTGGTGGATTGACAAGTGGGCTGTGTGTGTGTGTACGTGTTGGATTGACAAGCGGGTTGTGTGTGTGTGTACGTGGTGGATTGACAAGTGGGCTGTGTGTGTACGTGGTGGATTGACAAGCGGGCTGTGTGTGTACGTGTTGGATTGACAAGCGGGTTGTGTGTGTGTGTGTACGTGGTGGATTGACAAGTGGGCTGTGTGTGTACGTGGTGGATTGACAAGCGGGCTGTGTGTGTACGTGGTGGATTGACAAGCGGACTGTGTGTGTGTGTACGTGTTGGATTGACAAGCGGGCTGTGTGTGTGTGTGTACGTGGTGGATTGACAAGTGGGCTGTGTGTGTGTGTACGTGGTGGATTGACAAGCGGGCTGTGTGTGTGTGTGTACGTGGTGGATTGACAAGCGGACTGTGTGTGTACATGGTGGATTGACAAGCGAGCTGTGCATGTGTGTACATGGTGGATTGACAAGCGAGCTGTGCGTGTGTGTACATGGTGGATTGACAAGCGAGCTCTGCGTGTGTGTACGTGGTGGATTGACAAGCGGGCTGTGTGTGTGTACGTGGTGGATTGACAAGCGGGCTGTGTGTGTGTGTACATGGTGGATTGACAAGCGAGCTGTGCGTGTGTGTACATGGTGGATTGACAAGCGAGCTGTGCGTGTGTGTACATGGTGGATTGACAAGCGGGCTGTGTGTACATGGTGGATTGACAAGCGGGCTGTGTGTGTGTGTGTACGTGGTGGATTGACAAGCGGGCTGTGTGTGTACATGGTAGATTGACAAGCGGGCTGTGTGTGTACATGGTGGATTGACAAGCGAGCTGTGCGTGTGTGTACGTGGTAGATTGACAAGCGAGCTGTGCGTGTGTGTACGTGGTGGATTGGCAGGGCTGCTGTGTGTGTACGTGGTGGATTGGCAAGCGGGCTGTGTGTGTACGTGGTGGATTGGCAGGGCTGCTGTGTGTGTGTGTACGTGGTGGATTGACAAGCGGGCTGTGTGTGTACGTGGTGGATTGGCAGGGCTGCTGTGTGTGTGTGTACGTGGTGGATTGGCAGGGCTGCTGTGTGTGTGTGTGTACGTGGTGGATTGGCAAGCGGGCTGTGTGTGTACGTGGTGGATTGGCAGGGCTGCTGTGTGTGTGTGTACGTGGTGGATTGGCAGGGCTGCTGTGTGTGTGTGTGTACGTGGTGGATTGGCAAGCGGGCTGTGTGTGTACGTGGTGGATTGGCAGGGCTGCTGTGTGTGTGTGTGTGTACGTGGTCGATTGGCAGGGCTGCTGTGTGTGTGTGTGTACGTGGTGGATTGACAAGCGAGCTGTGCGTGTGTGTACGTGGTGGATTGACAAGCGGGCTGTGTGTGTACGTGGTGGATTGGCAGGGCTGCTGTGTGTACGTGGTGGATTGGCAAGCGGGCTGTGTGTGTACGTGGTGGATTGGCAGGGCTGCTGTGTGTGTGTACGTGGTGGATTGGCAGGGCTGCTGTGTGTGTGTCCGTGGTGGATTGGCAGGGCTGCTGTGTGTGTGTACGTGGTGGGTTGGCAGGGCTGCTGTGTGGTTACGTGCCACATATGGCTGCTTACTGCTGCTGCGTGGCATTTGTGATTGCCGAGGGTCGCACGGCTAAATGTTCAACCTCCCGCGTGCCTGCGAGAGTGGGTGGCGACGCCGCTGTTCCAGCCTGCTGCTGCTGCCTGAGCTTTCTTCTCTCTCCCTGGTCTGCAGAGTTCTCACCCTCTGCTTGAAAGGCAACCCCAACAACAACAACGGAGCGAGCAATGGGCCCCATTTCCCTTCTTTTTCTTCCCGTTTCGTGTGGTTCCGCCGGAATAGATGACCGCGGATTTTAGTTTGTACCCCGTTGTTAACCTGTTCGGCGTGATATTGTCGGGCTCTGGCGTTGTCGTAAAAAGAAAAAAACGCGAGCTAAACGACAGAGCTCACGCTGCGAAGGTGTTCACGCTCGCCGCTGCACTCTCTCTGGTTCCGTGACCGCGCGCCGCTCGGCACGACGCCCGGCGTTCCGTTCCACGCGGCCCGGCAGAATTCGGCTCTCCCCGTAGGAAGCTTCCCCAGCACGCGGAACGAAACGTCGGACGTCGTGCCGAGTGACTACGCGGTCCTGGCCCGAGCACGGTGGGAGCGCTGTCGAGAAAAAAGAGTAACGGGCGCTGCGGCCGCTGTCGTTAGAGGGAGAGGCGGTTCGACCTCGCGACGTGGAGAGGCGCCTCTCTCGTCGCTTCGCACCCAGGGGTCGTTCGGCTGGACGTTTGCACCGCTTGTCGGCGAGAAACGTGACCTTCGGATGCGCCCGAGTGACGTCACCGCAGTCGGGTATTAAAGGGTCACACTGGTGATGTCACCAGCGCGCCGCTGCGCAAGGTCACCTGTGACTGCTTGGTCGGACTGGCGCGGGGCAACCCGGGGTGCTCGGCCCAGGCGCGTAGCTGCGAGATGAGAGGCGCTCGCCGCTTGCATTTCGCGGATTCTGTTAATTCGTCGTTGCTGCTGCTGCCCCCGCTAGAGAAGCTGTGCGGCCACAGACGTGTTCACGGTTCGTCCCGAGAGCAGAAAATGCCCCTGAAGATTTCTTCCAAATCGGCCAGGTTAATTTCAGCGGCCCTTGAAACCGCAGAAAGTCACAGGTGCACTTTGTATTTGCGTGGCATGGCACAAGGTGAGCGCTGAAAGAAGGCGCCCTTGGTGATCCACGGACTTGGTCGGCAATGGATTCGCAGAATTGGGGGGGCACTTGCGACGTGGCTTTCCCACTAATTAGCCAAATTTGAACCATGACTCCGGCACACACTCTGCCTTTCTACATTTCCCCGGGAGCTCAACGCACCGCAACCCGCAGTGCGAACCGGCGCGGCCGCAGCGCTCGACCCGCGAACCTCGGGCAACGAGCCCCGGAATTCCGGGCGGCGAGAGCTTGTTGGCTCGCGCGCAAATACCGACGGTGGTGTTGGACGTGAAAGCGAACCCCGTGTCCCGTGCGCAGATAACGATCGGAGAGTTCACCAAGTGTTTGCCAACTGGGGAGGCGCGCGCCGCTCTCTCGCTCGCTCGCTCGCTGCACCGTACTCGCAGTTTCAGCGAATGCGCGATGCGGCGTTTCTCCCCCCCCCCCCCCAATGTGAAACGTTATTACAACGTGGACGATTTACGTAGACTTTGGCCGGTGTGCTCGCTCCGTGGAGGCATGCAGAGGCGCTCCAGATTTTAACGGACAGGGCGACGCACGTAGGCTTTGGGTCGGTTTTATTCCACCTGCTACTGTACACAAGCTCAACACTTCACACGCCCGAGGGTTCGCCTCCACTGCGCGACGCCATCCCCCCCCACCATCCCCCCACCATCGTCGCGGGTGGGTCCCTCAATCGAGATTTGTAACGCACCGTCGTCGCATCTCCACATCCAAATCCCACCCCCCCCCCATGGCGTATTGTTCCATCTTTAGTTGCGTCGCCGCATCCTCTCATCGCGTGTCCATGCGGCCTCTTCTCGATCTGCGTCTCTGTCAACTCATCCGCTTCACCTCGGCTTGTCACATCGCGAGCACGGCGGTGCGTCATCAAGCTCCATCCTCACGTCGCACGCCACTCCAACCGTATCCCGCCGCGCCCCAAAATCTCGTCGTGGCAACGCGGTAAGGTGGCATTTGGTCTCTGCAACAAGGCTCTCTTCTCTAAGACGGCAATACAGGCTACTCTAGTTAGCATGCCCCAGTATAAAAAAACAACACATTTACTACACGCAAACCTACCGCGTGGGAACATGAACCTTCGCGCAATACGAGACCCTCCGTCGATGCTCGCCGTGGAGAGGGGTGGTGGGCCCCGCTCGCCTGGCACGTGGGAGGTCGTCTGGTGGGAGATGCGGAGGGGGAGGGACCATTTGGGGAGCTGCGTAGGCGGGGGGGGGTGTCACTGGTCCCCCATGGCCTTGCCAAGAGCGGCATCAGTGGAGCCCCTGATTGTGCTGTGGTTCGGTGAAGTTTGGTCATGGTTCTCATGGTGGATGATGAGTGCGAGTGATGTGGTTGCCAATGGATGATGGTGAGATCCGTGTGTTCATGGGTGCTGCCGATGAGTGGAGGTGGTGATGGAGGCTAGTGGTCGGTGTATGTGATGTGGGTTCTGCTGATGGGAGCTGTATGTGTATTGATGGATGCTCATGATGGTTTTCTGGCAGGGAGTCAAACCGAATGATTTTCGGGAACGGTTTTAGTTAATCAAAAACTAATGGAACGTGTTATTGTTAACCGTGTTAAAAACCGGTTTCAAGCAGGTTAAATCTTTCATCTTTTTAAATGTTTTTCTGATAATATGCGGTATTCATTGCAGAGCCGAGAGATGTTTTTGAAACGTTTCAAACATCTGTGTACGTGTGTTGCAGAATACGGTGAGACCCATATGTGTGTACGTATATACAACGTATTTCGCACCGTACGACGTAGCCAGAGACATACAGAAAGACAGACGGAGATGTATCCGTCCCTATCACAGCAGTCGCGGGGAGCGTTGTGGTCTCGTGCGAACGACCAAGGCGCACGGGCTCTGCGCGTGCGATGGCTCACCGAGTCGGTGATTGGCTACAACTGCCCAGAGGAGCTGTCGGATTGCAGCCAAGCGTTCCTTTTAACATCCCCGGATAAAAAAAAGTGCAAGTTATTGAACCGGTAACCATATATATATTTTTTTGGTTTTCATTCCAGAGCAACAAAATTTTATTTGGGTTCAGCTCTAGAAAATTGACAGTTAAAACCGGTTTCTTGTTTTCGGGTTCAACACTCCGGTTCCTGGTGCCGGTGGGCGGCAGTAGGGAGAGCACGAGGAGCGGCTTGCCATGCCGACGACGACGACGACGTCTGGGTTCAGGTGGAGGCCACTCGTGAAAGTGCCTGCGGTCCCCATACGCCGACGTGGCCACCTCCACATCTGTGGTTCCACCTCTCCCTTATCTCCTCGATTGACGGCGACGTCACGCGGCGAACGGAGGGTCAACAGCACGTCGTTGCAGCGGCGGCGATGCCGACCCGTTTAAATCCAGTCGCAGAGCGCGGCGAAGCGACGTCGCCGCACGGGCGTTGCATTATTCACACGCCGCTTCTTCCCTTAGCCTCGAGGAGCGCACAAGCAGCGCGAAACCAGGAGCGCCAGGCCGGCAGGCTCGTCTATGAAGCCCCTGGTTTGTTCATCTCCACCGCCGGACCTCCAACGACAATTCGGCTGCGCGCAAGGCTGTTACCTCCACAGTGAGCGCCGGTCCCCGCGAGGCTCATGGGGGCAGAGGGGGGGGGGGGGGTCGAGCGATGATTAGGGAAGGGGTCATGACAAGGGGGGGTTGGGAGAGCAGGGGTCACCAGGGGACTTATCTTTGCATTCCTCACCATTTCAAGTGTTTACATTCAAAACTGCTGTTTGTACATAGATAGGAGTCCGTGTGCTTGGTTGGTGGGGCTTTATATTTTATATATATAGATACATATACAATGGTGTACATACACATGTACATGAGTGCTATTGGTCACATGGGTGGATCACATGGGTGGTGGGTCACTTGGTGTAACTTCCAGTTACTCTACTTATGATGGTTGGTGGTGGGGGCACACACCTGGGTTTATTGCACAGGTGATCCCCCCCCCCCCTCTTTGCCCCCCTACAACAACCCTAAATTGATTGGGGTGCATCAACAGGTTTATTCATAGGCGAGGTTGGTAATTAGCAAAAAAAACTGGCTGGTACATTTGCAGCTGATCTGAACTGAGGGTGCTTGCAGTTGGTTTGGTTAGTATTTGGTGGAGGGCTTAGAGTCTGGTTGGATGGAGTAATTGAACTGCTTACTTATGGGTGTATTCTAATCGGCTGGCAGATTGGTGTTAGAGGAAATGGCAGCGTTTTGTAAATTGTTTCCTAGGCTAATTGAGGGATGCATCGGTGTTTGAGTGAATGTGTGGGTGGGTTGGGATCACGAATCAGCTTAATGGTGAACCCACGGGTGTGGGTATTAATTGGTGGACATGTTAATTGACCGAGGGAATGACAGACGCAGAGCCAACTGTAACCACCAAGGCTTTTACAATAATCTGCAAGAGCTCGAAGTGGACACGCATTAAACGCGGCGAGACAAGCCCAGGAAGGAAAGTGCTGCACTGGCAGCATAAATTACACAGCTTTGTACAAAAAGCGCCGCTGACCGTGACCCAAAATTTCGACGAAGGGGAGGGCATCTTCAGTTCCATGCTGCAGATGGTGGATTATTATTATTTACGTTACACTTAATAAAGTGTTCTCCTGGTGTACAAAAATAGTCTCTTCTCTCTCGTGTGTGTGTTTGGGGTCGCACTTGCTCTATGTACATGCTCCTGCCAGCCGGCCACACACCCACTCCGTCCATCAGCTGCTCAGCCACGCGGAGAACAGGTCACACCTTCCATCCACTACTCACTTGCTCCATCCCTCTTCCATGGTGTAGGGGGCAACCCCCCCACTCCCTCCGGGGGGGTGTAAAAAATAATTCTATTGGGGACCCATTTTTTTACGAGGCAAAGCTGCGTTTTGTTTACCTCTGACGACTCCACATGGGCCCCCCCCCCTGATGCCCCCCCCCGATGGTAACGTGGTGTTCCTTCCACAGCGAGTCCCCATCCCCTAAAAAAAAACCCGATTTTGTTGTTGTTCCCACACTGCTTCTGTCTTCTCTTCTCCCCCCCACCACGAACCCCGCAAAAAAGAAAACTGAGCAAGTGAGAGCCGAGAGGCAGACGGTCGAGATGGCGAGACGGGAAGAGCAAGGAAGTGGTTGCGGCGGTGGTGGCGGTTGCGGCGGTGGTGGCGGTGGTGGTGGAGGCGGTGGTGGGTCGAACCCCACCGGCCGGCCCCCTTAGGAGCACCCGCACCTGTCCACCACCATGCCGGGGATCTTGCCGTAGATGATCTGCTGCTGGTCGTTGAAGTACAGCATGTTGATGGGCGACATCTTGGTCGGGGTGCAGCAGGGACCCGCGGAGCCACGCGGGCTCGCCTGCTGCACGAGGTGCGTGTGCGGGTACTTCTGCAGGAACATGTACTCGCACTGGCCCGAGCAGTAGTTCGCCTTGTAGCGCTTGGGGGCGATGATCCAGTCCCAGCCGAAGGCCTCGAAGTCCACGGTGAGGGGGTAGCGGCAGCAGCGCGACTCGTTGGACGACTCGTCGCAGTCGAGTCCGATGTTCCTCCGAGAGCGCCGGAACGGCTCGGTCACCTTCACCTCCAGGAAGGGTTGCTGCACCACAGGTGGACACGCAGGTGTGTGCACCGTCAGGCGAGTTGTACAATCCCGCAGGTGTATCGACGTACAGGTAAGTACGGGTGTGAGTTCACACACGCTCGTGCGTGTCCCAGGTGTATAGACGGGTTAATATACGTAGAGTTACGTCACCCCTTACAATAATGGTTGCGACCCACACAAGCAGGTGTCTACAGGTGAGCACATACGGCGTCCAATGCCTCTACCTACAGGAACGATTGCTGCAAGCAGTCGCACAGGCATTTAGACACAGGTGAGTGTGTGAGTCACACACATGTGTGTCCAGCTGTATATACATATAGGTGAGTGCACGTGCTGGTCTACACCATCGTCACCTCCAGGAGTGGTTCCAGCAAACGTACGCACAGGGTGAGAACACACGTGCAGGTGTGTGTCAACACGTGTGCAGACAGGTGGATATGCATCGGTGTATAGGCAGGTTGGTGCACAGGCGAGTACACACACATGCAGATGTACGGGGCGTGTACATGGACACGTTAACAAAGGCAAAGATCCCCCGTGTAGGCATTACAGACGGTTGGGACAAGTGCTGTTAGTGAGCACATGAAGGGTGGGTGGCCAACACCACGCCCGGCCGCCTTTGTCTCCCCAGTGGCGGTGTTTACACAGCGCACCAGGTACTCGTTTGAGGCTGAGTCGACCTAGGGGAGGCCCAGGTCCGGTTCAGATAATCGTCACCGGTGTTGGCTTTGAGCGGGAATCGAACCCCGGGTCGCGGGTTCGTAGTTCAGCGCACAGCGAACCACTGCATTAACTGTGTTAACTTGTTACCAAATTGTTGACAAGTAAACACGCAAGTTGGCACGCACGTGGACACATGTGGGTACATACAGAGACCCCCATAGAGCCTTTGACAGTCTGTTAGCGAGCAGCACCTAATGAAGATCTGCATGACACACGTGGGGGTGGCCAGCACCATGCCGGGCCTCGCCTTTGTCTGCCAAGACTGATGTTGACACATCACCACCACTCACTTAAGGCCGAGCCGAACCCAGAGGCTGGGGCGCAGTGCGCTAGCCTCAACACCAGCGCTCCCCACGGGTACACACAAAGACAAAGATCCCCCGTATAGCGTGAACAGACTGCAGGGGCAAGTGCTGTTAGCGAGCACCTATGAAGGCCTGCACGGCACACGAGGTGGTGGGTGGCCAGAACCACGCCCGACCGCCTTTGTCTCCCCGGTGGCGATGCTTACACACCACAGCAGGTACTCATTTGAGGCTGAGTCGACCTAATGGAGGCCCAGGACCGGTTCAAATAATCGTCACTGGGTGTTGGCCTTGAGAGGGAATCGAATCCGGGTAGCCGGGTTCGTAGCGCTAGGCGCTAACCGCTACACTACCGCTCCCCACACACACACACACACGTGTTACACACAAGTACAGACACAGATGGGCACACAGGTGTACACACGTGTGTGTGTGTGGATACAGATGCTTCTCTTGCTGTCTCTCAATGCGATACGAGCATGGCTCCTCTGATCCACGCGCTGCTTGTGCAAGTCTCTCAGGGTCAATCCGAGCTTGCGTCTCAGCTTTTATTCCGTTTGCCACGGTGCCTCCGATTGTGATCGTTCACAACGGGCACGGATTGAACACTCATTTTGAACACTCATTTCGCTAAATTCATAATTGGCACGGCGCTCTTCGTTGTGGAATTCAGTTACGTAAAATATTTTTTGTAACTATTATCCGCCCCCATCTCCACATTATTGATCCCGGGTCCGCTATTTTGGGTTTTTTTCCCTTCCAATTGTTTGCTTGTGGGGATGCATTGTCAGCGCGTGGATTGAGTAACCCGAAACAATCCACACACTCGTCAATGACACTGGATTGTGTGTGTGGCTTTAAAGGTGGTGGCGAGTGGGGGGGAATATAGGCGACGTTTCGGGCAACGGCCCTTTTTCATATCACGTACATGAATAATGTATTTAAGGATGGAGTAACGCGTGAATGAGAATTGTTCACGTCGCCACGGACTCAAGTTGCACGCATTCATTAAACAAACTATTCTCGAAAACAAGACAATGGCGAAGATGCCCCGTGTAGCCTTAACAGACTGTTGGGGCAAGTGCTGTTGGCGAGTAATACGTATGAAGACCGCCATGGCGGGTGGGTGGCCAGCACCACGCCCGACCACCTTTGTCTCCCCCAGTGTTGATGTTTACACACCGCCAGAGTCGACCTAGGTGAGGCCCAGGACCGGTTCAGATATCCGCCACTGGTGTTGACTGTGAGCACAATCTAACTCGGGGAGCCGGGTTCGTAGCGCAGCGTGCTAACCACTGCGCCACCTCTCCCCGCTTCCCCATCACAAAGACAAAGATCCCCTATATAGCCTGTACAGAATGTTGGGGCAAGTGCTGTCAGGGAGCACCTATGAGGGCCGGCACGGCACACGAGGGGTGGGGTGGCCAACATCACACACACACGTACAAAGACAAAGATCCCCAGTGTAGCCTTAACAGACTGTAGAGGCAAGTGCTGTTAGCGAGCACCTATAAAGGCCGGCACGGCACACGAGGGGGTGGGTGGCCAGCACCACGCCCGGCTGACTTTTTCTCCCCAGCGACGATGTACACACACACGTACACACACACGTACGTACACAAAACACGTACACACACACACACGTGTTGTCAAGCATTTCAGAAGCCATGTGGCGTATTCATTCTTTTCCTGCATTGTTTTAAATTGTCGTCCACGTTTACATGCCGTATGAATGCATGTACTAGAGCGGCATCTCTCCTTAAACATGCAAACGTCGAGACAACGTTGAGGCTCAACGTTGAGGCTACGTTGAGGCATGTTTACCGTGTTCATCACCATCTGATAACCACAACCGTTGTCTGCAATTGTCCATTCACCACTGTGGGTGAATGATGGCTTGTACCACCACCACCACCACCCCCTCTCTTCTCCTTGTCCCAAACCCGCACTGCTGCTGCCCGCTCAGGTCTCGGCTCAACGTCTCCGTCGCGCTCGCGGGACTCGCAGGTGGCAGTGAGGCGGTGATGACCGAGTCTTTTCGCTTCTCGTCAATAGGCACGGGGTGCCCCGGGTGTGCAGCGGAGGTCACGAGCTGAGCGGAGCTCTCTGCGCTCAATGGGCTAAACTTGCGCGGGGAAAGAAACTTTTCGCTCTTTAAAAGTTTCGATTTTTGGGCCAATTTTTTTTTTAAATGAATGAACAAATATTGTTGGTGCATTGCTCGCCATTTTTTGCAGTCACACTGAATGACGATCGTTATCCTACGTCGCAGGTGCACATACAAAGAGAGAGAAGACCCGTGTAGCCTTGCAGACTGTTGGGGGGGCAAGTGAATGACTTTTACACTTACTATAACATTTTATCTACAAAATTACACCTTGCCATATTTAAGATTGTATATTACGGCTAATTCACATTTTATATTCTATACTTATTCAAAATTTTACATACTTTAGCTCCTTAGTATTAGTTAGACTTTGTAACTTTAGTATAGTTAGACTGTATACCACTTATTTAAGTTTTAAGATTCCTACATGTTGAATGTATGCACCTTCCTGCCATAGTAAATTCCTTGTCTGTGCGAACTTTCATGGCGAATAAAACCCTTTCTGATTCTGATCATCGAGCACGCCCACCCAAGTGGGCATGGTTAGCGCCACGCACGTGTTTGCCATGGAAATGCTGTACGCAAATGTGTAGAAACGCAGGTGTTGGAGAATATGCACGAGTACAGGTACACGCAAGCGCCAGAAACACACACAGCATGTGCGAAAGCTAAAGGGTGTATACGTGAATGTGTACACACACACACACGAGTACGCAAGGGATGATGTACACATAGTTGTATATAGCACACACACGCATGTGCACATGAACACAAACAGGGATAGTACATGTACTGAATAAAGCTACCGATTAAATTTTTTTGTAAACTATACGAAACTGTTTTTTTGTATTACACAGGTAAGCCTCCTGAGCTGTTATCGTCACCGTGGCTCCCACGGTGGCTAGGAAATGTTAACTACCTCGCCTGGTCTACAGGATGTCGTGGGTTCGATCCCAACCCTGACGCCTGCTGCTGTATATTTGGAGTTTGCGTGTCTCTCTCCCCGTGGTCGCGTGGATTTTTCTCCGGTTCCTCCGGTTTTTCCCCTCCACATTTGGAATTAACATCGCCACGCGTTTAGAGTGTTTGGCTGCTGCTCTACATTTCCAGAAGTCCACATCGTTAGCTATCATTTGTGATAGCCAGCTCGCTTATAAAAAAAATAGCTCAGTGAGCCGTACCTGGTCAAATAAAAAAGGTGATAGTTTTATAGATTCGAATCTCTTTTTCAGAAGCGACCTGGCCACACGTGATCACAGCTCATCGCAGTGGCTAATATTACCATCATCATCATCACCATGATATTATCATCATCATCTGATTCTGAATGTGGAGGAGGAGGAGGGCAAACCCGGAGGAATCTGGAGAAAAATCCACGCAAACACCACGGGGGGAGGGAGAGAAATAAAAAAAAAGAAATAAAAAATTACAAATATTACATAGAAAACAGGGGGAACATAGACAGAGTAAGGAGAGAGGGGGTAGAGAGAGAGGGGGAAGGGGTAAGAAGGAGGAGAGCAGAGCGTGAAATATTTTGTGAAATCTTTCATTTAAAAAAAGGGGGGGGGCACATAAAGCAAAGCATTGAAAAAAAAACGAAATGATGAACTTGGCAAAGTACCGACTACACCGAGCATCTTCTTGTTTCCTCTGATCGTAAAAAAAGAGAGAGCGAACACGTGGACTCCAAATATGCAAGAACAGGCATTGCCAGGGTCCGGCATGGAACCCACACGGGGGTCACGTGGTACCAGGCGAGGGAGGTAAACATGCCGGCACCACCGCAGCGCCCCAACAACGATGCCTTATCATCCGTTTTCCTCTCCAAATTGTAGGAGTCGTATACATTGTGCATCTGTCGAACGCGTCTCTCGTCCTCGGACCAGCTCGTGCCGTTGCATCGTGAGACCACGACTGATCCTGACGGTTCGGGGAGGCTTTCGACGCAGCAGTGGATAGATCATGGCTGCTGCTGATGAAGTATTAAAAAACTAAACTAACTAAACTCCTATTTTTGTATTACCAGGTAAGTCCCACTTAGCTATATAGCTACACATGACGTGGACAGTTATAGTAGCCAAATACTCTAAACGCGTGGTGTTTATTCTAAATGTGGAGGGGAAAACCGGAGGAGCCGAAGAAAAATTAACGCGACCACTTGGAAGGGAGACGCCACAAACTCCAAATACACAGCAGCAGCAGGCGTCAGGGTCGGGATTAAATCCACGACCTCCTGTATACCAGGAGAGGTAGTCAACATCTCCTAGCTACCGTGATGATGATGATAAGAGAGAGAGACGCCATAAACTCCAAATACACAGCAGCAGGCGTCAGAGTCAAGATCGAACCCACGACTTCCTGTATACCTGGCGAGGTAGTTAACATCTCCTAGCCACCGCGGCGCCCATGCTTACGCAGGACAACACGGGCGGGTGTGCACACTACAGGGATGAGCATAGACACAGTACACAACATACAAAGGCAAAGATCCCCTGTGTAGCCTCCAACAAACTGCTGGGGCAAGTGTTGTTCGTGAGTAGCACCTTTGAAGGGCAAAACAACACAAGTGGGATGTAGGGGGCTCGCACCATGCCCGGCCGCCTTTGTCTTCCTAAGTACTGCTACACTTTCCCCAACAGTGTACACACACACGTCCACATGCACACGTAAAATTGCTGTGTATACACAAAGACAAAGATCCCCCGTGTAGCTTTAACACATTGTTGGGGCAAGTGCTCTTAGCGAGGACCTATGAAGGCCGGCACGGCACACGAGGGGGTGAGTGGCCAGCAACCACGCCCGACCGCCTTTGTCTCCCCGTTGGCGATGTTTACACACCGCACCAGGTACTCATTTGAGGCCGAGTCGACCTAGGGGAGGCCCAGGACCGGTTCAGATAATCGTCACTGGTGTTGGCCGTGAGCGGGAATCAAACTCGAATCACTGGGTTCGTAGCGCAGCGTAGCGCTAACCGCTACACCACCACTCCCCACTGTGTATGCATACACACACAGGTTCAAACACGTGTACATCATTGTCATTGCCACCATCAGTAATATAACCACCACCACCATTACCACTACCACCAACACGTCCACCATCATCCTTACAATTTCCATCACTATCATACCCACCACGATCATCACGACCACCACGCTTATCACCATCACTACCGCCATCACCACCATCATCACCATTATCATCATCACCATCAACACCAGCATCATTATTAGTCACCATTCATCATTACCTCTGTCACCACCGCCGCCATTATCATTATCAACATCACCTCCACCATTATCACCACCGCCACTGCCAGAACCACCACCATTATCATCCTCACAATCACCACGACAGCCATTATCATCACCATCATCACTCACACACTAGATATACCACACAACAACAACCGCCACTAAATGGCGGTGACGTCACCACGACACTTGTGCCAGGCTATGTGCACGTTGAGGCCAAGTGAAGTGTCGAACTCCGGCTGGCAGGAGGGAGATCATCTCTGACCGATGCCTTTCCTGGTCTCAAGCTCTGGATCGCCTTCAGTACTTCAACAGACGGCACCTCAGCCAGCCATTCACAGGGGGTAACTTTGTCTTCCAATATTTGAGGCACCGCAACCTTAGCATAGTCATCCCAACTTTGTGCTACGATGCTTTCCAGGCTGAGGGATTTCCCCTCCCCCAGGATCTCACAGAAATGCTCAGCAAATCTGCAAACCTGTTCCTGGGGGTCAGAAAATGCATCACCCTTCTTTCCCCTAATGATGGTAATAGGTGTGGCACTGCAGGTAAATTTTTTGATGGAATTGAAGAGCCATTTTTGATCACGGGCCATTGAGGCAGACTCCATCTCCTCAGCAACCCTCAACCACCAACCATCCTTGCAGCACCTCACGGCTCTCCATACCTCCAAGCGAAGGCTGCGGTAAACCTCCTCATTCTCTGACGTTGGATGCTGGAGACGATTAGAGTGGGCCTGTCGCTTTTTCTAAGCCAGCCTCCTCTGTCAGCCAGGGTCTCTGAGGAGGTCTAGACCGTGTACCCAAAGCAGCCATTGTAGCTGCATGAGCCACAGTCCTAAACCTAGCCCATTTCCCCTCGACATCAGAAGGAGTGGGGGACGATGCTAACCCCAGCCGCAAGTGATGATGAAATTCTCGCTTGCAACTTTCATCAGCTAGCTGAGACCAGGCCACTATGGGTTTGAATGGGGTCCTGGGTGTACACCCACCACAAGAGTGAAAGAATGGCAGGCGCATCTTACAGATGACTAGTCGTTGGTCGGCGGGCAGATCAGCTCCACGGTAGGTCTTGGTCTCAAGGACATGGGCCCACATCCGCTGTTCCGTCACTATGTAGTCCAGCAGATGTTCTTGTTTGGACCCGGCATGCACCCATGATGTTGTGTGGATGCGCCGATGCCTGAACAGCATGTTGGTAATTACAAGCCCATGGGCTGCTCAAAAATCTAGCAGCCTCCTACCGTTGTTATTGAGCTGATGTCTTCCAATCACTCCAGACCAGGTGCTAGTATCATGACCAATTCGGGCATTGAAGTCACCCAACAAGATGACTCTATCCCGAGGGTCACTTTAGCCAGCACCTGTGACAGGAGGTCATAGAAGGCATCTGACTCATCGGCCTTGCCTGCATCCCTCCACGGATGTTTGTCTTCGGTGGGGGCATAAGTAACCATGACCACCACTCCTCGCCTCGGGTTGATGGGAAGGCGAGCCCAAAGTAGCCTGGGGCTTACAGGTTCCCACACCTCACCGCCACGGTCCCACGCCCCCTTCATTATTTTGTTCAGAAGAAGAGCCACTCCATGTTGTTTGGCAGTCTCCTGGCCCGAGTAGAGGTGGCAGGAACCAGAGCCGGTCCACCGGTCCTCCTGAATACCACAGAGATCCAGGCGGTACTGATCCAGCTCCCGACAGAGGAGTGGCAGCCTGTCCTCCGCAGTGAGCGTTCGAATACCCCACGTGGCCACACGAAGTGGCTTTTTGTTGTTTCTGGAGGAGCCCCAAGGGTAAGGATTCAGTCTCCTGGCCCTGCCAAATGAGGTTTGGCCAGGAGACGTCATAGATGCCTGTCCCCCCGGGGCCTCTGGCACAAGCTTAATACGTTTTTTGAATCGTAGTTTAGTGGTAGTTAATTGAAAGTGGAGGGGTTACCAGCCCCTCGCACCCATCCAGAGCTCCCATTTGGCCACTGGTGGTTACAAATGCCATGAAGGGAAAGGGCAATCTAAATTGGCCCTCCCCCACGGCACTGCCCACCATAGTGTTGCCGTCCGGCACCACGAGGAGGTAGGGGGTTGTTTTTGCCACTCATACCACTTACCACCATAATCACCATTGCCAGAACTTTACTCACTATCATCCCCACCTCCGCCACCACCATTATCACCACCACGACCACCAATATCACCACTCCCAACACCAGTCATTACCATCACCACTCATTACCATCACCACCAACAAAGTCATCACAAATCCCAAAACCAGCCATTACCATCACCACCACCACCACTCCCAACACCAGCCATCACCACCACCATCACCACTCCTAACACCAACCATTATCATCACCATCACCACTCCCAACACCAGCCATCACCACCACCATCACCACTCCCAACACCAACCATCACCACAACCACCACCACTCCCAACACCAGCCATTACCATCACCACCACCACTCCCAACACCAGCCATTACCATCACCACCACCATCACCACTCCCAACACCAGCCATTACCATCACCACCATCATCACCACTCCCAACACCAGCCATTACCATCACCATCACCACTCCCAACACCAGCCATTACCATCACCACCACCACTCCCAACACCAACCATCACCACCATCACCACTCCCAACACCAGCCATCACCACCACAACCACCACCAACAACAACAACAAACAACAAGCAGCAGCAGCCTCCACCTCCACCTACCAGTCCCTCCTCGCCGGGTCCCGGCGCTGTGATGGCGAGGTCGTTGCCCCGCTCGTCCACCGCCTTGATCTCCACTCCCCAGTTGGTCTCGGGGTGCAGGAACCAGTTGTGGAGGATGTACTTGAAGTCGATGCTCTGCCATTGCCCCGCGCGGGAGCCCAGGTCGGTCTTGAGCGAGCGAATGCGCACGGTGCCGCCCTTGGAGAGCGGTATGAGGCGCAGCACCTGGATGAACACCGTGCTGCGAGCATCCACGGGCCGCAGGTACACCCACAGGTATGCCTTCACCACCTTGTTCAGCATCATCTTGGGCGTGAATCGGAAGAAGCAGCAGCGAGGGGAGCCGTCCACGCGCACCAGGGGGTCGGCTGCGGAGACAACGGAGGAGCCGGGAGGACGGCGAGAGGGGAGAAGAATAAGAAGAAGATGGAGCTCAGGATGGGAGGGGATGGATGGAGGACACGGATCTGAGCTGCGGTGCCGGTGATGGAATTCCGTACGGTCAATGAGGAGCGATTAACCCCCCCCCCCTCCCCGAGGTCGACACTGGGGGTGTGTAAAACATCAACACTTGGGGGAGACAAAGGTGGTCGGGCGTGGTGCTGGCCACCCACACCCCGTGGTGGTCTGCATAAGTATTACTCGCCAACAGCACTTGCCCCAACAGTCTGTTGAGGCTACCCGGGGGATCTTTGTCTGTGAAGCGCACGGCTCCTCTCAGTGCGAACCTCGCTGCCGCGAAAAGACCGAGTGCTGTGTGTGTGTACTGTGTGTGTGTGTACTGTGTGTGTGTGTGTACACTCTGTGTGTGTGTACTGTGTGTGTGTGTACACTGTGTGTGTGTGTACTGTGTGTGTGTGTGTACACTGTGTGTGTGTACTGTGTGTGTGTGTACACTGTGTGTGTGTGTACACTGTGTGTGGTGTACACTGTGTGTATGTGTACACACGAGTGGTGTGTGTATGTGTACACACAAGTGGTGTGTGTATGTGTACAGACGAGTGGTGTGTGTATGTGTACACACGAGTTCTGTGTGTGTGTGTACACACCAGTGGTGTGTACATGTGTACACTCGAGTGCTGTGTGTGTGTGTACACTGTGTGTTTGTGTACACTGTGTGTGTGTACACACGTGTGTGTGTGTGTGTACACACGAGTGCTGTGTGTGTGTGTGTGTACACCGTGTGTGTACACTGTGTGTGTACACACGTGTGTGTGTGTGTTACGTTCGTTGAGAGTCATTGCCGTTGGGATGTTGGGAACAACAAACGGCACGGCGGCGTAAGTCACCGCGTGGGTCACGTGCTTCTCACTTCTCAGTGGAAAGGTAAAGGTGCAGTCGCGCAATGTCTCCCAGACGCCACTGCCGACGGAACAGCCTCCGCTGGAGGCAGCTCGAGAGTGGTATTTGGCCTACTCTTCCATATTGCTCAGACGTCGTGGGAGAGGTGGACGTACCTAAACTTTACCCTACCGCCACCACACGCGATCTGCCGATCATCGGAATCAGAATATGTATGCATACTGGAGTAATCCTATGAGCTACAAATCTCCTTCTCACAGATGTACCCATTGTACTGCTGGAGGCGGGGATGGGGGGAGGGGTAATGAACTTGCACCATTTTTTCACCTGGCGTGCCCGGAGATGGAATAGAACCGTCGCCCTCTGGATTGCAAGTCCCCGTGTGCTCACTGTCACACGATGGAAACCCCATCAGTTATAAAGCGATCTTTTAAAAAATCAGTTTTCATGCTCCGGACATTTATATCCTTTATATGTGCTCGCTAACGGCACTTGCCCCAACAGGCTGTTGAAAGCTACCCGGGGGATCTGTGTCTTTGTGTGCGAGGGTGAGTGAGTGTTAGAGAAAGGGAGAGTGTGTGTGAGTGTGTATGTTGGGCTGAATAGAGGGTGCTGAACAGGCGCGGCACGGTTTGGAGCGGGGATGGGCTGGAGGACGTGGAGCGGAGTGGACTTGCCGATGACTGGCACCAGCGGTGTCAAGATCGGCCTCTGTGGAACATACTCGTGAAGGACGCTACTGGGCAGTCCCAGGCTATGTGCACTTTGAAGTTACTGGAGCAAGTTGGAGGGCGGAGGAGGAGCGACGCTCACAACAACTTAGCGCAGCGCCGGGTGGATAAAACGCAGCAAGCTGGTGCAGTGACGGGCACAGTCTTCCCGGTCAACTCATGGCACCTGGGTCTGTCCCGTGGCCTCCTGCAGGCGAGCCTTCGACACTTTGCGTGCTCTCAAAGTGCACCTAGTCTGGCACAAGCCCCGTGTGTGATGCAACCACATAGTGGCGAATGAAGATTGTTGTGCATAGAAGTGTGTCAGAGTGGAGCGTAAGTAACAATATCCGTGAGTGCGTGTGCGAGTGAGTGAGAGAGCGCGTGTCTATGATGGGGAGCGGTCATGCAGTGGTGAGCGCGCTGCGCCCAGTATTCGATTCCCCGTGACGAATATCTAAAACCGGTTCTGGGCCTCCCCTAGGTTGACTCAGCCTCAAATGAGTACCTGGTGCGGTGGGAAAACATCGCCACTGGAGAGACGAAGGCGGCCGGGCGTGGTGCTGGACACCCATGCACCCCTTGCGCGCCGTGTCAGCTTTCATAGGTGCTCGCTAACAGCACTTTCCCCAAGAGCGTTAAAAGGCTACACGGGGGATCTTTGTCATTGTGTCCCCATCAAAAATTACGCGGTGCCCGCGTCTCCCCGAGCACGTGTGCACACAAGGACATTCACACGCGCGCGTGTGTGTGCATATGTCTTAGTGTGCATGCGTGTGTACACGTGTACACAAATACACACACGTGCGTACGCGCGCGCGCGTGTATATGTGTGCGCGCACGCCTCCGTTTGCACGTGAATGCACAAACACGCGCACACGCGCGCGTGTTTACGCTGCATGCACACGTGCGAATATACTTAGACACGCACGTGCACACGCGCGTGTACACGTGCGTGTGTGTATGCACTAACACACGCACGTGCACACGCGCGCTTATACACTCACGCACGCGTGCACGCGTGTACACGTGCGTGCGTGCGTGTGTGCACTAACACACACGCACGCGCACACGTGGTGGAGACTCCACCGCCCCGCCCCCCCCGTCTCTCTCGCTCGCTCTCTCTCACACAATGCGCTCTCGCAAACAGCGCGACCCCCCCCCCCCCCCACACCACTCCCCCCCCCCCCCAACTGCGAGGCGCGATGAATGAGCGCTTTGTGTCGGGGGGGACGGACGCACGGGGAGGGGAGAGGGAGGCGCTCACAGCGAGCGCCCATCAGCTAAGTCAATCGGGTTCGATTCCTGCCCGTGACGTCAAGGGCACGCAACCCCCACACCCCCCACACCCCCCTCCATAAATCAACTCGGAATAAATTCACGAATTCGTGGGGGGGGGGGGGGTAGGGACGCCCAGCACGGCAGTGGTGGTGGGGGGGGGGCAAGGGGCAGGGATGATTTGCGTTACGGGGCAGCCTGGCATTTGACCCTGGAGTTGGGGGTCACCCACACAAACTCGGCCCAACGTAAATTCTAAACCACAGTCCAGCCGGGGATGATTTAAGTGTGGCCCTGTGTGTGTGGTGTGTGTATGCGTTTTGTGTGTGTGCGTGGACACATAGGGGTAAGCAACTTGGAGGTTGGGGGTAGAACGTAGCAAGACAAAGATGTGTGGATGGAGAGGAGGAGGATGGTGGATGGGGGTGGTGGTGATGATGGGTGTGACACGCGTGAAGGATGGAGGAAGATCGTGTAAGCAACTTGCAAGTTAACAATAGTACTTGGTAGGAAAGCGCTGTAGATGTGATTAGATGCCTATGAAATCTTGCAGTTCACGAGCACTGATGACAACAAAGAGTCTGACGCTGTCGATGAGACGCTGTCGATGAGACACTGTCGGTCGAAACCGGTGCAGAGTTTGCTTGTTGTAGGTTGTGTTGGAATTACTTCTGGGGTTTTGTTTGCTTTTCTTTACGTGTAGAGACAGATATGTGCAGGAGACACGCAGTGACAACTTCATCTGTTTCGATCAGAAAGAGGAGGAGGAGGTTGTGATGGGAGGGACGAGTATGTGCAGGGTGCATGAGCAGAGCCTCGTTTATCTGCACGGGCATTGGAGGGACGACTCCAAGGGGACGACTCTAGACCCAGATGGTGGTGGTGAGAGTCTAAGGTCGCACCAAGGAAGTCGACTGAGCAGCAGCTAGGAAACTTTGCAGAAGGAAGGAGGCGATGGCGATCCGTGAAGGTATCGACGGCATTGGCCATGATGACCTCTTGACCTTGGGTGTGTTTGTTGTGGTGAGCGGTGGTGTAGCGGTGAGCGCTACGCTGCGCTATCGAACCTGGCGACCTGAGTTCGATTCCCGCTCACGGCCAACACCCAGTGACGATTATCTGAACCGGTCCTGGGCCTCCCCTAGGTCGACTCAGCCTAAAATGAGTAGCTGGTGCGATGTGTAAACATCACCACTGGGGAGACAAAGGCGGCCGGGCATGGTGTTGGCCACCCACCCCCTCGTGTGCCGTGCCGGCCTTTATAGGTGCTCGCTAACAGCACTTGCCCCTACAGTCTGTTAAGGCTACACGGGGGATCTTTGTCTGTGTCTTAGTTTTTTTAGGTCCCAACTACGACCTGGCCAAGTCAGTGGCAACGAGGTAGTTTCCACGTGGTCGGCAGCAAGTCGCATGCACCGTACAATGAACGCACCGGACACCCCGAAAGCGAGCGGCCTGCGAGCTCCGTGCGTGATGGTTCGAGTCCGGTCGCTATTGTTGTTGTTGATGTTGTTAATCCACGTGTGACGTCACTCCTGTCACACGTGTCACGCTGTAACACGTGTCACCCTCGAGCGTGACCTTATTTAAATTGGGGGGGGGGGGGGGCGCATATGATAATTGCTCAGGCGAAGGGGTGCACGACACAACTTGGATGTCACTGCTGCTGCTGATGATGATACTCCTATTATTGCTGCAGCTGTTACTGCTGCTGCTGCGACTAACAATGCTGTTGCTGATGATGATACTTCTGATACTACTGCTACTGCTGATACTACTACTGCTGCTGCTGATGATGATACTACTACTGCTGCTGATACTACTGCTGGTGATGCTGATACTACTTTGCTGCTAATACTACTACTGGTGCTGATACTACTACTGCTGATACTACTACTGCTGATACTACAACTGCTGGTGATACTACCACTGCTGCTGCTGCTGGTGATGATACTACTACTGATGCTGATACTACTGCTGGTGATACTAGTACTGCTGCTGATACTACTGCTGCTGATACTACTACTGCTGGTGATACTACTGCTGCTGGTGATACTACTACTGCTGCTGATACTACTGCTGCTGGTGATACTACTGCTGTTGGTGATACTACTACTGCTGCTGATACTACTGCTGCTGATACTACTACTGATACTACTGCTACTACTACTCCTGATGCTGATACTACTGCTACTACTACTCCTGCTGCTGGTGATGCTACTACTGCTGGTGCTACTGATACTGCTGCTGCTGATACTACTACTACTGCTGCTACTACTGCTGCTGATACTACTAATACTGCTACTGCTGCTGGTGATACTACTACTGCTGCTGATACTACTGCTGCTGATACTACTGCTGCTGATACTACTGCTGCTGATATTGCTGCTGATACTACTACTGCTGACACTACTACTGCTGATACTACTGCTACTACTACTCCTGCTGCTGGTGATACTACTACTGCTGGTGATATTGATACTACTGCTACTTCTGCTGCTGATACTACTGCTGATGCTGATACTACTGCTGCTGATACTACTGCTACTACTACTCCTGCTGCAGATACTACTGCTACTACTACTGCTACTACTGCTACTGCTGCTGCTACTGCTGGTGCTGCTTAGCGTCCCGGTCCGGGTACGAGGGCGGCTCGCGCGCATTCCTGCGGCGCGAGCTCCTGTAATTAGCCGAGAATGGATCTCTCCGCGGCGGCTGTCAACACTCCCCATGGGCCGGGAGGCACGGGGCCAGGGGGCCAGTGCGAGAGGGGGAGAGACGGAGGGGGGAGTATGGGACAGGGAGGACGCATGCAGAGAAAGGGAGATGGATGGAAGAAGAGGAGGAGGATGATGATGATGGATCTGTGGATGGATGGCGAGATGAATGGAGGGAGGGAAGTTGCATGGAGGGCTGAGCCATAATCATCGTCATCATCAGCCACAATCTATCCGCTGCTGCGCGAATGGGTCCGCAAACCGTCGCGATCTCTCACGACCCTGCGATGAAACGATCCAGGCGGTACCAGCGCGTCAATTGGCTGCATGAATAACGAGCAGCGGCCTTATTTGCGTGCTTTTGTTGTTGTTGTTTATTTCTGAAAAAGTCTCCACCGAGTGGCAGGGCACCCTCGCGAAGGGAGGGTGCCCTGCCACACGACGATGTTTGGCCACTTCCTCGATTCGCGAGACGCGTTGCTGCTGCTGCTTCGCATGCGTTGGGTGAATCCGCAGAGTCGGCGTGGTGGGGGGGGGGGGGGTGGAACCCCCACCGCTCGTACGAGGAGGGGGGGTTGCCTACTCAAAGCTGGGCGCAGGCAGATCTCCAGAATCGGCTGCGCTCTGCTGTCATCATAATCCTCCACCCCGCAACGAGAGAGGCCGCGACATCTGCTACTCCCCATGCAAGTAGCAGCAGCAGCAGTAGCAGCAGCAGTAGCAGCAGAAGCAAGGCTGAAATCGCGCTCCGCTTCCGAGATCTTTCTCAACACGCGCCCAGGACGCCTGAGCCTGGCCTGTCTTACCCACTCATCGTCATCATTCCTCATCCTCCTCCTTGCAGATTGCCCCCAACATCCACCCGAGCATCGTCTGCACAGATTGCAGGGAGACGAGAGGATGCGGCAGAGAAGGACGGAGCGAATGTAGCGAAGAGTCCACGTGCGTCTCAGCCGCGCGTTCTCGACTCGGTGCACAGGACCCAGAAACTCGCCACGAAGAGGGTTCGTCTCAGACCAAGATCCGCACGGAGCCAACGTCCGCCACGCGTTTTGCGAATCAGACGAGTTCGGAGGGAGGGGGGGGGGGGGGGTCAGGCGTTTCCGTGGTCCTGTTTGTCGCGTTACAATCGCGTTCTGTTCGCGAACAGAACCGTCTGTGGGCCCGGGGGCCCGGAACTAATCAACTAATTGATTACGCTGCGGTTGCGCTAATTGCGCGCTTTGTTTACGCAGCGAGAGCGTCGCCGTTTACCGCAAGACTGCGTATGAGGAGGGTGGCTGCCGGGGTGGAAGGTTTGGCCGTGAATTCAATGAACGAGAGTTTTGACTTCGCGTGCGGGAGAAGGAAGCCGGAGAACCCCGGACGAAAAACCCCGGACAGCACTAGTGCTGGACACGAGGGGAGAGACATCCATGGAACCAGATGGTCTGGTTAAAATCCCAGCACAACATTGGTGCTGGACACGAGGGGGGAGAGACACCCATGGAACCAGATGGCCCGATTAAAACCCCGCACAGCACTGGTGCTCTACACGAAGGGGGAGATACCCATGGAACCAGATGGCCTGATTAAAACCCCGCACAGCACTGGTGCTCTACACGAAGGGGGAGATACCCATGGAACCAGATGGTCCGGTTAAAACCCCGCACAGCACTGGTGCTCTACACGAGAAGAGATACCCATGGAACCAGATGGCCCGGTTAAACCCCAGCACAGCACTGGTGCTCTAAACGAAGGGGGAGATACCCATGGAACCAGATGGTCCGGTTAAAACCCCGCACAGCACTGGTGCTCTACACGAGAAGAGATACCCATGGAACCAGATGGCCCGGTTAAACCCCAGCACAGCACTGGTGCTCTACACGAAGGGAGAGACACCCAGCACTGCCTTCTCCTGATCATCCCGTGCGGGACGATCACCAAATGCAGAGTCCTAAACCAGGCTCAAACCCCTGCTGAGGTGACGAGATCCGACGCGAATCTGTCGGTGATGTTGGGAGGGAACCAGAGGCCCAGAGGCAACCCCACCACGCGCACGGGGAGAAGGGCAGGGCGAGCGGGCGGGTTGGCGAGGTGCGAACCCAAAACTCCGCACAGATGGATTTCATAACCCGTTGCCGTAACCGCCGCCATCCCCTGGCCACCTCGCAGTCGCAAACCGACAACAGCCACGTGGCGTTCACAGGTAGCCTGCCGCCGTCGTGAAAGCGCTACAGGTGTGACACCTGCCGGGTCCCCGTGTCACACATGCAGGCTACAGGTGTGACACCTGCCGGCTACAGGTGTGACACCTGCCGGCTACTGGTGTCACAACTGCCGGCTACAGGTGTCACACCTGCCGGCTACAGGTGTCACACCTGCCGGCTACAGGTGTGACACCTGCCGGCTACTGGTGTCACAACTGCCGGCTACAGGTGTCACACCTGCCGGCTACAGGTGTCACACCTGCCGGCTACAGGTGTGACACCTGCCGGCTACTGGTGTCACAACTGCCGGCTACAGGTGTCACACCTGCCGGCTACAGGAGTGACCCCTGCCGGCTACAGGTGTGACACCTGCCGGGTCCCCGTGTCACTCCTGAAGCCGGTTACAGGAGTGACCTCTGCCGGCTACAGGTGTCACACCTGTAGCCGGCTACAGGTGTCACACCTGTCGGCAACAGGTGTGACACCTGGCGCGGCTCGCGTTGCGCGTGCGTCCGCTTCTCTCTGGGCGGCTGCGTGAGGAGCGCTTAGTCCACGCGGGCGTACAGGGCGACACATCGCTCCATCACCTACATGGAATCTGTACCGCCCCCCAACACAACCTACAGGCAATCTGTAGTAACCCCCCACCCACCTCCTGACTTGATAACCGCACTCACTTCCTCCAAGCGGTCATCAACCTGATCCACCGTCCCCGGCCACGTACAGAGAGAGACATTGGAACCGCGGAGCAGAACGCTGCACCCCCCCCCCCGCCCCCCAGGGTGGCACCGACGAGTGAAGTCCGTGCGCTTGCCTCGTCTGCTGTCGCTGCGATCAGCGACGATAGCAGCGGCAGCGGCGGGGGAGGGGGGGTTGCTGAGCGCTGCTGTCGCTGCGTGCGCATTGCTGCTGCTGCTGCTGCTGGCGCGGTTATCGGTGCGGCCGGGGTGGGGGGTGGGAGGCGGTGTGACACGCGCGCTGCGTGTGACCGTGGCGCTACTCACGCTCGCTGCCCATGATGATGATGGTCTCGGCCGTGGCGTGGTAGTCGTCGTCTTCCCAGTGCGCGTGGTTGGACGACGGTCCCTGGTCTCCCTGGAAGTCGTACTGGTCCAGCAGCTGCTGCAGCGGCGGCGCCTTGGGCAGCAGCTGGCTGATCACGTCGCGGCTGATGTTGGGCGCCTGCTTGAGCCGCAGCTTGCTCAGGATCTGCGATTTGATGGACTCGAGGCGCAGCGCCTTGCTCTGCTCCCTCCAGATGCACGTCGGGGTGCACTCGGCGCGCTCCGGCTGCTCCTCCCCGGGCCCCCACGAGGTCGCCCCCGTTGCCGCTGCCCCCGCAGCAGCCGCCGCTGCCCCTCCGGCTGCCCCCACCGATGCCCCCTCTTCGGCGTTGGTGCCAACGTTGCGGCCGAACGCGGCCAGGCACACGCACAGGATGAGGCACTGGGGCGGCATGGCTCGGCTCGGATGTCGGCGGTGGTCGTGGTGGAGAGTGGAGCGAGCGGTCGAGTGGAGAGCAAGCAGGGAGCGAGTGTGTGAGTGGGAGAGTGAGTGTGTGAGTGGGAGAGTGAGTGTGTGAGTGGAAGAGTGTGTGAGTGGAAGAGTGTGTGAGTGGAAGAGTGTGTGAGTGGAAGAGTGTGTGAGTGGGAGAGTGTGTGAGTGAGAGAGTGTGTGAGTGTGTGAGTGGGAGAGTGTGTGAGTGGGAGAGTGTGTGAGAGAGTGTGTGAGTGGGGGAGTGGGAGAGTGTGTGAGTGTGTGAGTGGGAGAGTGTGTGAGTGGGGGAGTGTGGGAGAGTGGGGGAGTGTGTGAGTGAGAGAGTGTGTGAGTGTGTGAGTGGGAGAGTGTGTGAGTGGGAGAGTGTGTGAGTGTGTGAGTGGGAGAGTGTGTGAGTGGGAGAGTGTGGGAGAGTGTGTGAGTGGGAGAGTGTGTGAGTGGGAGAGTGTGTGAGTGGGAGAGTGTGTGAGTGAGTGTGAGAGTGTGTGAGTGAGTGGGAGAGTGTGTGAGTGAGTGGGAGACTGTGTGAGTGAGTGGGAGAGTGGAGCGAGCGAATTGACAACCGAGCGAAAGCGCACGCGCGCCTTGAGTGAGCTCGAGAGCGACCTGGCGAGTGAGCGCGTTGATGGGCGAGTGACTGACGGGGAGACGTGGGCGCAACGTGAAGAGAGGAGGAGGTGGTGGTGGTGGGTTGATGAATATGTGCGCGTTGTGAGAGGGGGGGGTGGTGGGGTGCGGATTGTAGCGGTGGAGTAGAGACGCAGAGAGATGCAACGGGGATAGAGAGAGAGAGAGCGACTCCGCACAGAGAGCGCGGGGGAGCGGGGAGGGGGGTGGTGGAGGAGAGTTGCTCTCCTGAGCGCGGGTCGGCGTGCAGGCAACGCGGCCGCGTCCCTTTTATAGCGGCACTTTGGCCCGTGCTCGGCACGCCGAGTCGTGGCGATTGGCTGCAGCCTCTTGAGCCCACGACAGCGGCGAGGGGTCGAGGCGGGGCTGTGCCGAATCCACTCCCACTCACGAACGCGCACACTCACACAGAGACACTCTCACTCACACACAGACACTCACACACAGACACTCTCACTCACTCACAGACACTCACATACACACAGACACTCACACACAGCCACTCACACACAGCCACTCACTCACACACACAGACACTCTCACTCACACACAGACACTCACACACAGACACTCACACACAGCCACCCTCACACACTGACCCACGCACACAAAATCCCACTCACACACACTCACTCACGTTCACTCACACCCACCCACTCGCACATACTCACACACACTCACTCACACACCCGCAGAGACAACCCCGAACCGATGATGGTCTGATGACTTGAGGGTGATGATGTGATTATGACGATTGATTTTATAATGACGTCATGATCGTGGTGATGATTATTGATCATGTGGATGATTTGTGATGATAATGCTGATCACGTGACACGACTATAATGATGATGGGAATTATGTACAATTATTATAATCATGGTGATGTGATGCTTACATGATTGTGATCATTATTGTAATGACAGTTTATTAAAGTGAGGAGTGGTGGGGCAGTGATCAGCGCACTCGAAACATAAATTCAATACCCTGCCACGGATAACATCCGCGGCGAGTGATGATATCTGCTCCGGTTTTGAGCCACCCCCTTCCCCCCTCCAACTCTTCACCTAACCCACACTGACCAGCGTGGGGAAGTATGGTCAAACAACCCCCACTGATACCACAAGTCCTCATTCAGCAGTGGAATTACAAAACCATTGTAAATTGGGGCCGATTATGGGCATGATCTGATATTCATCATAATAAATGATGATGAACACCGCAGTAATATTAATGATTATAATTACGACTAATACGAATTACTACTAATAACGTGATATTGACGTTGATGATGATGTAAGTCCACAGTGTTTAAACTATAAAGTCTACGAAATTTTCTCTCGAGAATAATATAAATTGTTATTCCGTGGGGAAGTATGGCCCAAGAACCCCCCTCCATCAACGACCCGTGTGGGGAGGCCCTCATCCAGCAGTGGAGTGGAAATGCGAACGCCCGTGTACTCACCTATTTGAGAATGAACTCGCTTTTTTTGTCAATACATAATGAGCAGACATTTACTGTGTACCAATACGCCCGTTACTATTTTTGCCAGGAGGGTGATGCTTACGTTGGGTTGTTTGTTCAACCCCTTTTAACAACAAAAACAACAACAACGAGCTGTTGTTGTTCGTTCGGCAGGAAGTCCCGGAGAAACCCCACGTGGACGAGGAGATAACGCCAACACAATTCCACACAGAGAGGTTATCGTAACCCACTGCAGATTGACGTTTCATTCGGGTCCTTGAAAGCCCCTGCCACAATAGCAGAGCGACATCGGGAGCTACCCACAATGGCTCGGAGATGTTAACTACCTCTCCTGCTATGCAGGAGGTCGTGGGTTCGAGCCATGCCCTGACACCCGCCGTATATTTGGAGTTTGTGGGTCTCTCTCCTCGTGGTCGCGTGGAATTTTCTCCGGCTCCTCCGATTTTTTCCCCCCTCCACATTTAGAATCGACATCGTGCGTTTAAGAGTATTTGGCTGCGATGCATTTCCACACGACGACGATGATGATGATGACGATGATGATGATGACCCACTTCCTCTGAGCTGTCATTTGTGGCCAGGTCGCATCTGCAAAATAGCTACAGAGCTCAGTGAGCCTTACCTGGTAAAATACAAAAATACAAAGTTTAGTTTTTAATTGAGTGTAGCAGAACTGCTGTTCCTATTTATGTTCGGGCCGCTACTGCTTCTGTTCCTGCTGTTGTTGCTGCTGCTGTTGCTGCTGCTGTTGCTGCTGCTGCTGTTGCTGCTGCTGCTGCTGTTGCTGCTGCTGCTGTTGCTGCTGCTGTTGCTGCTGCTGTTGCTGCTGTTGCTGCTGCTGTTGCTGCTGCTGCTGTTGCTGCTGCTGCTGCTGTTGCTGCTGCTGCTGTTGCTGCTGCTGTTGCTGCTGTTGCTGCTGTTGCTGCTGCTGTTGCTGCTCCTGCTGTTGCTGCTCCTGCTGTTGCTGCTCCCTGCTGTTGCTGCTGCTGTTGTTGCTGCTGCTGTTGCTGCTGCTGTTCCTGCTGCTGTTGCTGCTGTTGCTATGGGTGGGGGTGATGCTGCGTTGTTGCCGATGGGGCAGCTGTGCGTGCGTGTGTCGCCGTCTCTTTGTGTGTTCGTGTCTGTTCCTCAGTGTGTGTCGGTGTGTGTGTGCGTACGTACGTGTGGTGTCTGTGTGCGTGTCTAAGTGCCCGTGTGACTATGTGGGGGGGAGCGGCCACCCGAGTTCGATTCCCGCTCACGGCCAATAACCAGTCACGATTATTTGAACTGGTCCTGGGCCTCCCCTAGGTTGACTCAGCCTCAAATGAGTCCCTGTTGTGGTGTGTAAACATCGCTACTGGGGAGACAAATGCGGCCGGGCGTGGTGTTGGCCACCCCTGCCGGCCTTCACCCCTGCTCGCTAACACCTTGCCCTAATAGTCTATTAAAGGCGTTGCATGATTGTGTGCCGATACCAAGTGTACTCGTTACAAGTCCTACTTTTACAACACACCTCTACTCCATAACTGTTCTCCCGATGCGATGCTATTACCTGTACTATATATGTGCACTCAATGTAGTATCCACCTCTACTAGCTGTAGTACAGGTGTGTTCTACATACCTATGCTCTCCTTCTTACCTCTACTATACACATGTACTCTTCATCTGTACTGCACGCGTGTACTATCTTGTGTTTACCTGCACTACATTACTGTACGACACACCTGTACTGTTTCCTCGACTACATATACCTATCATGCACACCTGTACTACCCGTCCTCTAACGAAGCATTCGCTGCACTCACCACACTCCACGTCGCGCGAAATATCCCGTCAATTGAAAACAAACAACTTTTATTCTGAACATCGCCGTCGCACGCTCTCACTGGTGGCCGTGGTTATCATTCGTTTGGGATATTCGCACGGGGGGGGGGGGCATTCAAATGACACTCCCCATTGCTCTACACGCCACGCGTGCAGGAAATCACTACACGTGATCAATGTGAGACTTACGTTTTCAAAGCCGATAAAACTCCCAACATGATTGATTTATTCTCAAAAAAATATATTACGAGACAATATCACGGGATTCTTCTTTGCCAGTATCAATGCGTGAAAATAAAGAATAGGTTTTACCCTTTCTGCCAATAAAACAGGAGCTGTGTTAATCTAGATTGCTGTGTTAAGATGTTCAAACACCAAATAGAAACCTTTTGCAAGGAATCAAGTACCGCATTAACCACACAAAGTGTTTGTGGTGAACATGCAAACAAACGTGTTCTGATATCTGCATTGCCCTTGAAACTGATAACACAGAACCAGATGAGTCAATGCCACAGGCTACCCAGAACCACACAGATCATATCATCAGTCGGAGTAATGCCAATTGTTTACCTGTTAACTCAGGATATCCTCACCGAGTCTCAAGACGTAGTTGCCAGGAGGGTCCTGCTAAAGCGGAATGTTTGACCAGGAGTGACTTTGGGCTTTGGGTGGCAAGGAGGACGGTGGTGGACCCGGGGAAGACGCAGCGACCACGTGACACACGACCGGGTTGACCCGCATCACTTCTGTCTCCTGGCCCCACCGACACCGCCTGGCAAGCCTCGTGGTGGTCCACCAATTAGAGTACGAACCAGACCCTGGAGTCGGACGCATTGCAGATTTGTTCGAAGGCACGATACAATGTTGCAATGGACGTTATCTAAATTAATAAAAGGCACGGCGTGACGGGCGGTGGACATCCCGATGCGAATCCACTGGTGGATGAGTGCCTCTCCGTGCCGATATTATTAACCATACTTCACCGCGCTGGTTTTACATCGGATTCCTTCTAAGAAAGTTAACGAAACACCGACCCGAGGCACCAACTCGGCTTATTTGCACCGATGCCACGGGCCTGGGTAGGGTCTCTCTCGCCCCCTGGCGGTCAACTATGGGGCGTCCCATGCACTCAAACCTCCCACACCTCTGCGGTGCGTGGGCACGTACGTGCAGCAGTAGCAGCCTGTTTGTCAATCCACTGCTGAATGAGGGCCTACCCACGCCTTTAGCGATCGTGGGGGGAGGGGGGGGGCTACTTGACCATACTTCACCACGCTATACTTTTTGTTTTTTTCGGTAAAGCCACGTAGGTTAAAAAAGAAAACAAATCAATTAAATCACGTTTTACAGCAAAATTGCTGTATCAAGTACAGCAATTTTGCTGTGACGGTTTCACCTGAAGACGGAAGCTTGTGTACAGCAATTTTGCTGTGACGGTTTCACCTGAAGACGGAAGCTTGTGTTGCCTCTGAAACGTCGTGATTTTTTTTTCTTTTTTTACCGACGTGACTTTACCAAAAAAAACAAAGAGTATGAATCCTTGCAGCCACGAAAGCTTCAGATCTAGAATTCACCACGCTCGTCAGAGTGGGATGGCGACTGCTGGCTGGGTGCAAAATGCACTGCTCACGACGCGTGCGCATGGACGATCCTGATCCAAGCACTCTCCAGGCTCAGCGCCTCCTTTTCTTCATCCGAGATCTGATGAGACCGGGGGTGCATTCTGGGCGACTTTGATGAGATTATTTTTTTTTACAATTAAGGACAATTATGGTTTCCACGGCAGGACTACAAAAGATTTCGTAACGAGCTTTGAGCATTATCCCTTGAATTCTCTGGCTAATACAGTTTCCATTCATGAGCCAAGCACTCCGAAAGAGAATTGATGAAACATCCCATTGCAAGACCGGAGCAGAAAAGTTTCGACACTCGGTGAAGTTTTCCTGCGTTAAATCAAGGGCATTATGATTACTCCAGCCATCCAAGTAATTTTAATTTTGTATGAACTGTGTTGTCATGTCGGTCTTACTAATCCAGTTGACTCATGTAAATAGGGGCGAGTTATGTTGTAAAAAAAAACCTTGTGGTAGTTAAAAGCATTTTTTGTGTAACATTGTTAGTTTCACTACTCGTGCCTTGAGTGACAAACGCGTCAACCACAACTACAGCGGTGGCCCCTGCACCCTCTCCCAGCCCATCCTCCACCTCCACGGCAGCACGGGGAAACAGGGCACCGCCTCCGAAATGAAAACAACAAAGATGGCAACGCGTTAAGAACAAATGCCAGGCGTCGCCTACAATTTGAAGGAAACGCACCGGGGGCACCGCCAAGGTGTTGAACTGTGAACTTCGCCCTCATCCCCCACCGCGAAGCTGGCGAGCGGCAAAGCAGCGGGAGCCCCCCTCGAGTGCGAGCGAGGGCCCAGCGGCGTGAGCATCAATCTCCCGTCGAAGAGTCGCCAATTAAGATGGAGGGGGCGCCACGGCCTGCGTGATTGCCGCTCCCCCGAGCATCGCCGCGACGACCTCGATGCCCCGCGAAGCCGCGGAGGTCGTTGACCGGGTCGGGCTGCCCTCGTTCCATTTGGGGGCTTCACTTCGGGTCACCTTTCGACCCACACCCCCCCCCCCCCACACAAACGCCGTGTCACTCACGCGAGACTCCCGTCCTCGCCACGCAGGCACAAGCATCGCAAAATAAATACGGCTTTGTTTATGATTTTTTTATTTTTATTTAAATATAACAAACTAAAATGAATTAAGCAGTAAAACTCTGGGGGAGTCGGGGAGGGGGGGGGGTGCCGCCTGGGTGAATCGGAGGAGGCACTCGCTCAAGTCACCGCACACTCGCTCTCGCGCTTCACTTCTGTCTTCACAAAAGCCACGGGACGAAAAGTAAAGCTAATATTCTTGCAGTGACATCTCAGGCCAGAACACCCACCACACCCTGGGTCACGCGACATGACACTTCAACAGCCATTTCGACCACCGCCTCTGGCCGCGGTCTCCCAGAGATGCGGCCTCCCCCCCCCCCTCCCCTCCTGTACAGGGCCCCACCATCTTCCACGATCGGTCTCCCCGGGGCCGCAAACGCCACAGGCCAAGTCGGAGAAGCCGAGAGTCATGGCATTGGTGTCGCCTGGCAGAGGGTCGCAGTCTCACCGCTTCCCACCGTCAGCCAGGGGTGTCGGCAATCGCAGTGAGCGGCAAGAGCAGCAGCAGAAGCAGCACCGTGGGGGTGCCCGGCCACACGGCGCTCAGAGCCCCGCACGCTTGGGCATCTTCTTGTAGACCTTGCGACGGCGCTTCTGCGAGTCGGACTCTTGTTGAGCGGAGGAGGCGGACGAGGCAGTGGCGCCGGGAGTGGTGGGGCCGGGCCGTGGCCCGCTGGAAAAGGCGCCTGTGGGGTCGGTGGGGCTCCTGGCCGGCCTGGGAGGTGGGCCCCGGGTCGGTGGGGGGGTCCCCGCGGAGCCGGCCGCACCGCCTGGCCCCCGGCGGCGGTCTTGGGTGTCCTTGAAGAGGCGATTGATGAAATCCTGGAACTCGCGACGGCTCTCCTCGTTGTGGCCGGGACTCGGGGGCCTGAGGTACAGATGCAGATACGCGCAAAGACACATGTATGAGACAAGACACGGACAAAGATACACACAAAGACACACAAGACAAAGACCCCATGTATAGCCTTAACAGACTGTAAGGGCAAGTGCTATTAGTGGCACACACACGGACAGACACACATGTGCAACACACACAAACAAGAAGATACACAAGATCATGTCATGGTTTGGATGATGGTAATAATGCTGTGGTTTGGATGATGGTGATGATGATGCGGTAGTTTAGATGATGGCGATGATGCAGTGGTTTGGATGATGATGATCATGATGGTGATGATGCATGGTTTGGATGATGATGATGATCATGATGGCGATGATGCAGTGGTTTGGATGATGATCATGATGATGCGGTGGTTTGGATGATGGTGATGATGCAGTGGTTTGGATGATGATGATGGCGATGATGCGGTGGTTTGGATGATGGTAATGATGATGCGGTAGTTTAAATGATGGTGATGATGCAGTGGTTTGGATGATGATGATGATGATCATGATGGTGATGATGTAGTGGTTTGGATGATGATGATGATCATTAAATGCGGTGGTTTGGATGATGGTGATAATGCAGTGGTTTGGATGATGATGGTGATGATGCGGTGGTTTAAATGATGGTGATGATGCAGTGGTTTGGATGATGGCGATGATGCAGTGGTTTGGATGATGATGGTGATGCAGTGGTTTAGATGATGATCGTGATGGCGATGATGCAGTGGTTTGGATGATGATGGCGATGATGCAGTAGTTTAGATAACAGGTGACGATGCGGTGGTGTGGGCGACCATGAAGGCGCGGTGGCTGCTGGGGCGGTCGTACCTGGCAGGCCGTCGCGCGCGCCCGTTCTGTCCCAGCGACATGTGATAGGCCACCGAGTGTGCGTCCGCGGGGATCGGGATCTGCTGACACGCCGCCCACTCTGCCGCAAACACAGTCGCCACCACGATTCGTCTCTCCCCTCCCATTCCGCAATTGGACTATCTAAGTCGGTGTACTTCACTCAATTCAGAGGGGGTGTGGGGGCACTTTCGCCGACACATTTGAAATCATTGGGGGTTTGACAGCAGCACGATGATGATGATGGGGGGGGGTGTTTTCACATTTGTGTACTGTCTGGGGGGTCACACGAAAGGCCATCAGGAGCCGCCAGTGACCCGCGGGCCTTGCAATGAAGCGCACGGCTATAAGCTGTTTAGCTTCTTTGGGAATCCTTGGCGCAATTGCTTTTTTATTAAAATGTTCATTATAGTAGCGTTTATTTGATATTTTTTCTTGATCCAAATTACGTCTTTATTCCATTTACGTGTGGTATACACACGTGCGTCGTGTGCTGTGCGCGGGGTGCATGTGCTTTGTGTGGTGTGTGTGGCATATGTGGTATGTGTGGTATGTGTGCGTGGTATGTGTTGTGTGTGATATGTAGTGTGTGTGTGGTATATGTGTTGTGTGATATGTAGTATATGTGTGGTATATGTGTTGTGTGTGTGTGGTATATATAGTGTCTGTGTGTGATATGTGTGACATGTGGTATGCGTGGTGTGTGTGGTATGTGTTGTGTGTGTGGTATATGTGGTGTGTGTGTGGTATGTGTGTCAGTCATCTCAGTCAGTCAACCCATGGTACCTGGGTCTGTCCCGTGACCTCCTGCCAGCGGGTGTTCAACACTTCACGTGGCCTTAACGTGCAGATAGCCTGGCACAAGCGCCATGGTGACGTCACCGCCACTTAGTGGCGATGGCGGTTGTTGTTGTGTGGTATATGTAGTGTGTGTGTGTGGTATGTGTTGTGTGTGTGGTATGTGTTGTGTGTGTGTGGTATGTGTTTGTGTTGTGTGTGTGTTGTGTGTGTGTTGTGTGTGGTATGTGTGTGTGTTGTGTGTGGTATGTGTTGTGTGTGGTATGTGTTGTGTGTGGTATGTGTTGTGTGTGTGTGTTGTGTGTGTGTGGTATGTGTTGTGTGTGTGGTATGTGTTGTGTGTGTGGCATGCTCGTGGTTTATATCGTACGACGCGCGGAACGCTATGCGTGCCGCACCATCTGTGCGCGGTGCACCTTTTGCACCGCCCACATCCACCACCGACCTCAACTGCCTGCCCACTTCCCACCACATCGGCACTTCCTCTCCAGCAAAACCGACCTCTACAAAACCGAGGCGCAGGCGAGCGGCGTCGCGCGGAGAGAGGGAGTGGCACCTGTGACGTCGTAGATGCAGCCGTCGACAAAGGCGAAGAACGTGACCTTGAAGCCGAGCATTCTCGACTCGGCCCAGAAGTCTCCCTCGGAGGCCGAGTGCCGCGCGTTACAGCGGGCGCAGTAGCGCGCCTCCCACGGCGAGCGCTCCACCTCGTACCGCCTGGCGATAAGCGTACGGTACAACCACCGAGTGGGTGCAGCAGGCGGGTCAGCACAACCACTCTAGTCAGTACGACACAACCAGTGCGTGCAGAGAGAGGACGCTGGCCAACTCGGGGGGGTCGGGAGGCGGTGGGGACGGTGGTGACGGTGGCCCTCACCGGTGCTTGCCGTTGCAGTGTGTGCAGCTCATGGTGTTCATGGCCTCCTTGAGGTCTTCGTGCAGACGCACCAAGAACTCGTCCATCGCGCGACTCATCTCGCTCTGCTCCGCACGTTTCCTGCAAACGTGCGCGCGCGCACCCACAAATGAGCTCGCACGCCAACATGTACACAGGCCACTGTGCCCACAGCCAGAAACACAACACGAAAGCACGAAGATAAACGTCCCTTGTGTGGCCTACACAGGCTGTTGGGGCGAGTGCTGTTAGCAAGTAGCACCTATGAAGACGGGCACGGCACACGAGGGGGTGGGTGGCCAGCACCACGCCCGGTCGTCGTTGTCTCCCTAGTGGCGATAGTTACACATCGCACCAGGTACTCAATTGAGGCCGAGTCGACCTAGGGGAGGCCCCGGACCGATTCAGTTAATCGTATACACAAGCACAGGAAATGCGCGCGTTGGTGCGCCACCCGGAGCGAATACACGAGTGAGCAGGCGCCAGGTGGCAGAGCTGACAGTCGGGGTGACAGGAAACGGGGATGGGCCCTCACATATCATGCTGCTGCTTGCGTGCGGGGTCAGACAGGATGTCCCACGCCGCTCGCAGAACCTTGAAGGCCTCCTCGGCACGCGGGTGTTGGCACTTGTCCGGGTGAACCTGGGGGTGTGAGGGGGATGGGGTGGGGGGGGCAGCAGTCACAACACCACAGATGCCATGAGTCACAACCCACGAATACCAGGATTAGTGGTGTGTGTTGTAGGGCAATAATATTCATCAACGCAGTTTTTTTTTTCCATAGCACAAGCGATGACTACAAGTTTACGTAAATCATGGGGCGTGACGGTGAATACAACTGCTCAACAAAGACAAAAGCTTGACAGACGACCTGAGACGAGCAAGATGAACTTGCCTGAATGAAGACACAGACTCAGATCGTTTAGTGATGTTATGAGAGACTGCAGGGGACGGAGCAAGAGCAATAATGGTAATTTGCTACACGTGTGGAAAAATATTTACGGAGTTCACCAATTGGCTGATCTGAAAACACTGGGGGTGTGAAAAAATACATTGGCACCTCATACCAATATTTCATAACTATGGGTTATTGACAAATTAGACCGCTTTAGTTGACTCCACTCGAGAGATCGACTACGTGCGAACCCACAGAGCATGGCTTGAAGACTTGATTCAAATTAAACATGCCGACTAAACCAACACTCTGTAGGGCAGGGTGGTGCTGCCTACAGCCTTAGGCGTCCTACCATCACGGCGAGGCGCCTGTACGCGCGCCGCAGCTCCGACTCGGACACGTCGGCGTCCAGCCCCAGCACGGCGTACGGATCCATCTCCTCCTCGGTCGCGCCTGCCAGCGCCAGCAGGCGCTCCACCACCTCGGCAGCTGGCTCGCGGCTCCCGCCGGTCGCCTGCGCCCGCCCCGTGCTGCCACTGCTCCTCCACTGTTCCTGCCTGTCGGCGCCGGCGCCACCTGCACCGGCCAAAGGAGGGGTGGTGGAAGAGGAGAGCGGTGGGTGAAACTAAATTATTAAAATATAAAGTAATTTTTATTTCATCAGGTAAGGCCCATTGAGCTATTAGCTTCTTTTTCAGATGCGACCTGGCTATCACGTGGAAATTTATTGCAACCAAATACTGTACTCTCAACGCACGTTTCTAAATGTGGAGGGAAAAACCGGAGGACCCGGAGAAAATATATGCAAACATGGGGAGAGAGACACGCAAACTCCAAATATACAGGCATCAGAGTCGGGATCGAACCCACAACCTCCTGTATACCAGGCGAGGAAGTTAACATTTCACCACCGTGGTGCCACACATGAAACGGAGGTAGAAATGCTGCTGCTATCATAGTTAAAACACAGATACATCTTTTCCACTGCACAACTGGACCCATTTGTATTATTAGATTGACTTTTAAAGTTTTAACCGTGATGGTGGCTAATTTGTGGAACTGCCCACGTTTGCCGTCACGTTCGAGACTCGTGCGATGACGCATTGGGAAAAGTGTCTGAAATGTACGACTCAAACCGTGGAACCGCCCTGTAAATCGCCCCGGCACGACCGCGCGCTTACGCACCGCCAAGCCTCTGCCGGCAAAACATCCACGCCTCCCCGAGCCGGCAGACGGTGCACGTTCGGCGCACCACCGCGCTAGCAGCCTGCCACGCCACCCCAACCACCTTCCACGGCTGCACCCGTAGCAGCCAGCCGCACAACGCCGCGTAGCCCGGCAGCCGTTCCAGCGCCGGCAGCACGAACCCCAGCGTCGCCTTGCGCAGCACCCGCAGGAATAGCAGTGCGGCCGTGAGCACGACGGCGGAAGCGGCGCAGCCCAGCGCCACCACCAGGGCGCCTGCCCGCCCGCTCCACCGCACCGCGAGACGCCTCGCGGCATTCGCAGCCGCTCGCGCCAGCGCGCAGTAGCAGGGCAGCCGGCGCCGGAGGGCGGCGCCCTCGGAGACCAGCGACAGCGCGGCCGTCTCGATCAGCTCCCCGACCACGGCCGCCAGCAGGACAATGGTGTTGACCAGCGTGGACCCGCCCGTCCACACATGCTGCCCGCACAGCTGCAGGAAGGCCTCCAGTGTACGCGGGCGGCCGCCCTTGCGTTGCTGGCCCTTCTTGCCGGCCCTGCCGTGGCCCTGCCGGGCGCCGGCCGTGGAGCCGCACCTCTCCCGCTGCCGTTCGCCAGGCACCTCCGCCCTCTCGGCTCGCCGCTTCTGTTTCTTGCCTCCCTGGCCGTTGGCGATCCCGCTGTCGGGCAATTTTCCGCCATTGCCGCTTTCGGGAAAGCCGTCGTCTTCGTGAGAGGTCGCGCCGCATGACGCCGAAGGCGCCGGTCCGGCCGGTGGCGGTGACGCCGATTCTTCGGGGGTCGTTCCATCCGTCCACTGATCATGAGCACGCGTGTCCGTGTGGGAGCTGTCAAACGGGGCAGCGTTGGTCAGCCCTTCGGCGTCACCACCGCCGAACAGGGTGGCGTCGTCGCCACCAGCTCGTTCGCCGGAGCCTGGCGAGCCTTCCCCCGGACCGGCGTCGCTCTCGCAGCCGGGATATCCGGAGGGTTCGACGCCCTGACCCCTCACGCTGCACTCTACCGAGTCCCCGTGATGCATCCCTCCAGGACTCGCTCTGTTGCCCGCGCTGCCCGAGATGCCATCCAGCACGGGGGGGCCCGAATCGGGGCCGAGAGTCTCCACCAAGTGGGGCCGGCCCGGAGCGCTGGGGCCGCCGGTCCCAGCGCCGCCGCCCCCCTCGCCCGTTGCGCACTTGGCACTGGCGGCAGCCGTATTAGCGCCAGCAGGAGTTGGGTCGCGGCGGAAGGGAGAGCGGATGCTGCACAGGTGCTCCTGGCTGTCCGTGTCCATCAGGGAGTCCACCAGCCTTCAGCGGAGCCACATCCCGGTTCCCGCATGGGTCCGGCGCCACCGCACAAGACGGGCGAGCGTCGGCGACAGGAGAGGGGAACCAGGCCCGGAGATGAGGCTCGTGAAGGCTACGACCGCCGCTATCGCCGCCCAGGGAACCTGCAAGCACATCGCCAATGTCAAGTCGGGAGCGCATGCGAACATATAACACACGCGAGATTTATTTTTGTATTAAAACTCACCGATGTAAGGTGCAGATTGTATTGTGAACAGGATCAATAGGCATGCAACACTTCTTACAATATTTAATAGATAAAATGTTAATTGCGCACATGAATGGAGGGTGATGATGCATTCTAGGTTTTAACAGGAGAGGGTGCAAAGGAGAATGGTGATGAGTTCCAAAGTTCAGAGGCATAAGTTGTAAACGGTGGTTAGTCCGGTCCACAACAACTTGTGGCATTTTAGTTTTCATGCAATCAATCACTTAGTCTAGTTGACTAAAGCAGCCACAGGATTACTCAACACTCAGTGTTAAAAAAAGAATAGGAGATGCGCTCAACATCCCTCCAAGTCTAATTCGGTCAGCCAACAGTGAACGCAGTGATATGTTTATATACTGTACGGCTAATAACCATTTTTGGTCTTCCTCCGTGCACCGATGTCTCCAACAAGGTGGCTAGATTATCTAAGTCTGCGCCTTCATTCCCACTCGTTAGTTTCGTCTATAGTCAGTCGTCTTATCATCACGCTTTTGGTCTTTGGTGGGCAGTCATCAATAATGTCATCTCCGCTCAGTCACTCAATTAGATGAAAAGTTCGTGGGATATTTTCATCTCTAATTTAGTTCAGGAAACTAAACCTGTGATCTAGGATTGGGCAAATCGCTTTGCGCCCGTTGGTTCATTAAACCAACGCAAACCGCTGCGGTGAAATGAGAATAATTAACACGAGGATATAGGCAGGCATAGGGTGGAATAAATCAACAAACTTTCAGAAGAACGCTAGGTCACAAATACCAGTTGGAAGAGACAAGCGGAGGCAATGAAAGAGAGATAATAAAGATTGGGCTATGATCATTGAAATCCATGCTCAACCTCGGCATAAAAACATACATGTTGAAGACTCAGTCAGCCAGAACGTTTTGTCCAATTCAATTGTGTTTAACCACCACACTGAGGAACACAAAACTTAACTGGGTGTTACGGTGGCGAGATGTTAACTGCCTTGCCTGGTATACAGGAAGTCATGGCTTCGATCCCGACCCTGACACCTGCTGTATATTTGGAGGTTGCATGTTCTCCTCGCGGTCATGTGGATCTTCTCCGGATCCTCCGGTTTTTCCCTCCACATGTAGAATCAACAAGCGTTTAGAGTATTTGGCTGCTGTAAATTTCCACACGATGAGCTTAGTTTAATCTTTCTACTTGAATTTCCCTCTCATTACCTCCTTTCTAAGATTCGTATCAATCCACTTGTGGATGATGGCCTCTGCAAGCCGTTACCGTCACCAACGCCACTCATGATCTTGCGGTCAAATAACCCACCGAGCACTTGAACCAATTCCATTGCTCCATCTCTCATAAGTAATGTCAAGTAATTATAACGGAGCTCAATTGGCCACTTGGCGTTTGGCACCAATGGGCCTGTGGCTGAGCAACAGTGATTTAAAAGAGCAAACACACACACACACATTCCCTCGCGTAACGTACACACGCATAAAACATATCAACCGCATTATATATACAAACAACTAAGGTCCTGGAACGCCGGGCCCACGTGTCTCCACTTGACGGGGAAGCGTACGTTCCTCGCTTGGGCAACGTTGTGAAGCAGCACAGGGCAAAGCAACACGAGCTACTGTTGGACTGTACTGCACTGTGCGTCTATGTGGCGACCCCTCCGCCCCACAATCTCGCCTTCACCAACCCCAAATAGCCCTCATCCAGCAGTGGAATGACACAACAGTTGTACAACCCGTCGGGCGTAACGAGGAAACTTACAAGCTTTAAATATGAACACGTAGGCATTTGCGGGAAATATCATCCATAATACACAAGTTTTTTAGGTTAGATCGCGTGCATATATAAATGTGTCGTTAAACCCACCACCACCCGACACAGCCAATTAGTAGTAAGGTTTTTCATGTAACGAATTGGCATATTGTTTACGTGACAAACCTTACTAATTGGTTGTGTCGGGTGTTGGCGGGTTTAACGACACATTTATATATTGACGCGATATACAACCCAAAAAAACTGAATTTTAAATATTAGGTTCCAGTAACGATCCCTTAAATGCGGAACCCTGCAATAGTTTAACCCCCTTCAAAAGACTGAGCGCTTCGAGACGGGATATGAAATGGCTCGTGCTTAAACCCAGCATTGGATTGATCACGGCTGCTGCTGATGATGCTGATGAACAAGAAGACACAAACACACACACCTCTCACATGTGATGAACAAGAAGACACACACACACACCTCTCCCATGTGATGAACAAGAAGACACACACACACACATCTCTCCCCCATGTGTTTTAGGGTAGCTGCCTCACTACCTCGCTCTTCTCGAGAGTAACAGCAGAAGGCGCAATGCCATATACATGCACAGTGTGTACACACATGACATCCGACGGCAGACTACGTAAAGAAGCACATACATGCACGATAAGCTGCTCAATTCAGTCTCTCAAGACGCTCCCAGCGCGTGCAGCGAGCCCGTCTGGACACCGGGGGAGCTGCCGAACAACAACCACGAACATTTTACGTGGAACCTGTAAACCCTGAATGTGTGCCGAACTTCTTTCGCACCGTACGTAGCCAACCGTGCCAATCGGAGGTGCTTCGGACCCCAGATTCCAGACCTCGGAAGCTCGGATCCCCAACATTTTCACCGCGGTCGAGATGCAGAACCATGAGGGTCGACAAATTCCTGTGGAACGTAGAACCAGTGACCCCCCCCCCCCCCCCCCGACGCAGAGCATCGCCGAACTTTGAAAACTCCGGGTTTGAGACCTGCAGCTTTACAACTTCAGACCTCAGTTCAAACCCTCGTACATCTGGAAACCTATAACCCTGTAGAACCCCACACCCCATGAACCGTTTTCCTTGAATCCGGAACCCGCAAACCCCCACAACTCCCACAACCTCTGACCTCTGGACCCCCCCGAGAGAACGATTGACCCTTTCAACTCCAATCAACGCACACCTCCACTTGCGAACTACCCCCCCCCCCCCCAAACTCAAACCTTTGAACCGCTTCGAAAACAACGTTGCAGAGATGCCCGGCACCGCTGGATAGACAACGCGACCCCGCGGGCCGTCAGAGGAGAGCCGCGCAGAGCACGTAGCCCCCCCGCTAAAGACATTGCCGCCGAAAGCCGAAGAATCCTCAACGACACAGCCCACTCGCGAACGTCTGGAGACCGTCCAGAGGGTAACAAAATAACAAAAATAACACAAATAACACAAACCCCCCGAATGTTTCATAGCGCGAAGCCTCAAACCCGGAACCCACGGACCCCTTGGGCGTCTCGCATCACGCAGCCCCCGACAAACTCCGGGGGGGTTCGTGAGGGGGTTAGGGGAGACCCCCAGCCACGAAACCCCTCGATCTCAGATATCCCCTCACCACGGCCCCCCTGCCCCCCCTGCCCCCCTCCCAGAGCCCCCCGCTGTAGGCCCCGGCATACCCGTGCCAAGCGTTGCGGCGTCCGTCCGCCGTGCTGCGCGTAGCGGGGAATACAACGAAACACCCCGCAGCGACAGCTGTGTGACAGCTGTAGCAGCAGCTGTAGCAGCAGCAGTAGCGGGTGACAACAAGGAGCTCAGCGCTGAAGCTGCGAGGCCGACGCGTCGCCTCTTCCTCCTCCACCACCGCCGCCGCCACCACCACGCCGAACGCCCGCCGCCATGACGGCCGCGTCACGTGACCGCCGTAACCCCGTGACCCCAAGCGGCGGTGTCGTCACGGAGAGCAGCGGAGTGGTGAAGTATGGTCAATTTAGCTGGAGTGGTGAAGTATGGTCAATTTAGCTGGAGTGGTGAAGTATGGTCAATTTAGCTAGAGTGGTGAAGTATGGTCAATTTAGCTGGAGTGGTGAAGTATGGTCAATTTAGCTGGAGTGGTGAAGTATGGTCAATTTAGCTGGAGTGGTGAAGTATGGTCAATTTAGCTGGAGTGGTGAAGTATGGTCAATGTAGCTGGAGTGGTGAAGTATGGTCAATTTAGCTGGAGTGGTGAAGTATGGTCAATTTAGCTGGAGTGGTGAAGTTTGGTCAATTTAGCTATAGTGGTGAAGTATGGTCAATTTAGCTAGAGTGGTGAAGTATGGTCAATGTAGCTGTAGTGGTGAAGTATGGTCAATTTAGCTAGTGGTGAAGTATGGTCAATGTAGCTAGAGTGGTGAAGTATGGTCAATTTAGCTGGAGTGGTGAAGTATGGTCAATTTAGCTGGAGTGGTGAAGTATGGTCAATTTAGCTAGAGTGGTGAAGTATGGTCAATGTAGCTGTAGTGGTGAAGTATTTTCAATTTAGCTAGAGTGGTGAAGTATGGTCAATTTAGCTGGAGTGGTGAAGTATGGTCAATGTAGCTGGAGTGGTGAAGTATGGTCAATTTAGCTGGAGTGGTGAAGTATGGTCAATTTAGCTGTAGTGGTGAAGTATGGTCAATTTAGCTAGAGTGGTGAAGTATGGTCAATGTAGCTGTAGTGGTGAAGTATGGTCAATTTAGCTAGTGGTGAAGTATGGTCAATGTAGCTAGAGTGGTGAAGTATGGTCAATTTAGCTGGAGTGGTGAAGTATGGTCAATTTAGCTGGAGTGGTGAAGTATGGTCAATTTAGCTAGAGTGGTGAAGTATGGTCAATGTAGCTGTAGTGGTGAAGTATTTTCAATTTAGCTAGAGTGGTGAAGTATGGTCAATTTAGCTGGAGTGGTGAAGTATGGTCAATTTAGCTGTAGTGGTGAAGTATGGTCAATTTAGCTGGAGTGGTGAAGTATGGTCAATTTAGCTGTAGTGGTGAAGTATGGTCAATTTAGCTAGAGTGTGAAGTATAGGTCAATGTAGCTGTAGTGGTGAAGTATGGTCAATTTAGCTAGTGGTGAAGTATGGTCAATGTAGCTAGAGTGGTGAAGTATGGTCAATTTAGCTGGAGTGGTGAAGTATGGTCAATGTAGCTGGAGTGGTGAAGTATGGTCAATTTAGCCAGAGTGGTGAAGTATGGTCAATTTAGCTGGAGTGGTGAAGTATGGTCAATTTAGCTGGAGTGGTGAAGTATGGTCAATTTAGCAACACCGGCGTGGGGGTTGGAGGCTCTTCATCCAGCAGTAGATTTGACAAAGTCGTTATCATTATGATGATGACCTTGTGAAATAGACTGCGTTGATTATATTCTAACCGGATGAAAACAACCTCGAAGGGCAGATAACAGCGAACAAACGCTGAAAAGTGCGTAGAGAAATGCATTGCAGGCGAAATGCCATGCACGACATTTCGTTTTACGCAGAGACGGAGGCAGCCAGGGTTTGATGGGCCACGCCGCACGTCAGGGGGGCACCGTTGTTGACCTCACTGATGCCCCCCACCGCGAGCCTGCATGGCTTGTCAACCCACACGTGTTCTGATATCAGGCGAATTGAGTCGTTGCGGGTCCGTGCGGCGTACAGCCGTTTCAATGCGGGTAACAACATGCGTTGTTGCCCGTATTGTAGCATATGTTATAAAGGGGCCCTAAATAAATAAAAACACCGAAATATTAAAACACAAATGTTTAACTTGCTATACAGCCAGATAATACGACAAATCGCTAACCTTAAACACCCAGTCGTTCATTAAAGTTAAAGGCGGTATAGTACTATAGTAATAGAGCAAGTGCAGAATCACCGAACCGGAATTGATAGCTTGAAAGCATTTAGCCCGGGGCCCTTGATAGTGCGGCATCCGTAGCTACTACGTGTGTAGCTGCTACATATGTAGATACTGTTGCTACTAGAATTATCCGGCACTGGTGATGGGACCTTGCAGGATGAACGTTCAGATGTATAAGGGCGCGGGGTGACCAACGAAGTCTGAATTGGTCTGTAATAAGGTATATATGTATTTTACACTTCTTTCACACCGTACGTAGCCAACCGCGCTAATCGGAGGTGCGGGGGAAGGACAACTAAATACAAAAAGCAGTTGTAAAGAAATGAGTTTGTCAATCTGGATGATGTAAAAGTGCATAGCTCCAGTGGCTTCCTAACATCGGAAGGAAGAGCGTTCCAGACGGCCGCAGAAGCGCATCTGAAAAGCGCGCGATGCGATGACCACCGCCTTTGTTCGATGGTTAACCAAAAGCCGCCGCTCCTGCTGCTTCGAGGATGACCACCGGAGTGTGGCGTGATGGTTCATGCTCCTTCACGAGATCAGCGAGGTATTGTGGTTCATTTGTGGCAAGCACTTCGTGTGTAATTAGTGCGACATTATGTATCCGTTCGGCAATCGGATTGGCAGCCAAAGGCTGCAAACACCCCAGAATCACGCATATAACGGGAGTGGAGTGATTAATTCAGCTGCTGCGCAGTAGTATAGACATGGTTTGATGACAGTATAATTATATTTGAATGATGGGAGTATGGTGGTGGTATTATTTGCTGTATTTGGCTGCTATAAATGTCCACATGATAAGTCACTTTATTGAGCTGTTATTTGTGGCGGGATCGCTTCTGAAAAAGAGCCATGTAGCTCAGTAAATACTTTCTTCAGCTGGTAAAATAAAAAAGCATGTTTCACGTGACCACGGGGAGAATATGCAAACTCAAAATATGTAGGCGTCAAGGTTAGAATCGAACCCACGATCTCCCCGTATACCAGGCGAGGTAGTTAACATCTCGCCACAGCGACCCCTCTCGCCAGACCGCCTTGATAAACGGCTCTAAGCAGGGCTGCGTTTCTCATCGAATACATTTTCGAGAGCTCAATCCCGGGCAGCTCCAGCTGATATCAATCCCAGGCTACACACGTGGAGTCTCAATGAAAACACTGGAGCCATAATCGAAGCAAATTCGCGACTTTATTAATAATCACGTCAACAAAGTCTGGTGCAGCGACGATCGCTCAATTTCGCATGACCCATGAACATCAGCAGCAGCAGCTGGTGGTGATGTTCGTGGCCTGAACATCGTGGGAGTTGCCACGTCCCATTTGGTCCGGGTCCAGTCCCGTCGAGCAGAAGCTTAATTTCGGATGATCAAGTCTGATTGGATAGAGCAGGCAGCTCACGTGTGGTGGGGGCAAAGTGTGGGTAACCTCAATCTTTTCCAAAAGATGTCTGGCCACCGTGGAAGAGTAGACCACAATAATCCCGTACCGAGCTCCCTCCAGTAGAGGCCCTTTTACACCAGCAGTAGCGTGATCGAGTAATTGAAGGGCTGCACCTTTGCCCTTACACGTTTGATTGGAATTGGGCTAAATCCAGCAGAGGTATTCTGTCCAGTGCGCCGTTAAATGTCGGTCCATGTCCGATCTCGTCTCGGTCCTGGTCTGGCAAAAAAAAGTCCAGACGAGGACATCAGTGCCCGAATGAAAATCTCTTATTACAAGCGCGGTCTAAGTGTGCGTACAGGGTATAAAAATCACGACACAACTGCCGCACGGTGCGCAGCGTTACAAAGAATGCGAGCCGGTGAGCCAGGGAGAGGGGACGTAGAAGAGGATTATGAAATGAAACGTCTGGCTCGTGCTACCAGAGTCCAACACGAGGATGGAGGTCAGCTTTCAATGTGGGCAAGGGTTGCCACCTCTGAGGTATACAAAAACCGGCACGTATCGTGGAAAAATATATCTCACAATACCAGAAGAGGAGAGCACTAAATGTGGATGCGTTGTCTTGAATGAGTTGCGCATTATTATGTGACTGACGAAACCCCGGCCTGTTAATGCCCTGGAAAGACACATTTCTCAGGACAGCTGCGTCTGAAAAAGAAAGATCCTGAGAAAATCAGGACAGGTGGCAACCATAGCTGAAAAACAGTGGACTAAAACTGACAAGGACGTGAGCCGGGATGAGGAGGGGTCAGCAGTTCGGGAGTGGATACAACTATCCAAGCCCTTTCTAGAGTTGAAGCTCTCCAAGCCCTGTCTGAAACCGACTAATTAAAGAGCCGCTAGCCCTAATCCATTAGCCTACCAGCCTCGAACCATAATCAGTCAAGCAGCCAATCGTAGTAACGCTAAACCTGTCCAACTAGACATGAGTACTAACCAGCCAGCTAACGACCACTACTACCCCTTTTCCCTAACCAACTAGCCACTAATACGAACCAGCAGCTCTACACTAATACTACCCATATCGCTAACCAACTAGTCCCAGCCCTGCCGAATGATCATAACCCTCCTGGCTATCGCCACCTCCATCACTTCCACCATGCCCCTCCATCACTTCCACCAGGTCCCCCAATTGCCTTTCAGTTTTGCTCTTCAGAATGGCAGCAAACGATCACCAGCAGACACCATGGATCGTCAGCCACTTGGACACAGCATATGTAACCCTACAGGCCCGACTCTTGGGCTCCCGAGAGCTTATATCGGTTTAAAGGAAGATTCAACCCAAAACATTAACTTAATTCTTGTTAAATGCTTTTCCTCAATGTTATCCCGATCGGGCTATCAGCATCAAGAAAATCCATTTGAAACTCTCACAGAGCACTGTAACCATTTGGTCCACAATGTAGGGGGCAGCACTGAGTCCACCCACTCTGCTACAGAGAGTAACGATCGTCGCATGACGGTCAACCGGACTATTGCGGCGCTCCGAGCTGAAATTTAACACAGTTGACTGTCGAACCGTACAAGTAACGGGGTTGATTGCGTAGTCATTGGTGACCAGGCTGAGGCCATTCAACTCGCTGCAGTCGAGAACCCGGTTTAACGACAGGCAGCAGCAGCTGCAGCTGCATGGATTCAGATGCAGCATCTCAGCAGTGCGAGCTCAGCACTCGGACCTCCGAGCAACCCAGCCACCTTGAAAAGCCCTTATGGATTCCCACCTCGGCTGTTCCCAGCAAGTTTCAGGAATGAGTTAAAAGACTTTCAAGTGGCTTTGTCGCACGCACCGTTAGTGACACTTGCAGTGACATACAAAAAAATGGACGGCAGCGCACGTCAGTGACAGCACTGGACAGCATTGGCGGTGCTCGAGAAAGTCAATTAAAATAGTTTTTCTCACACTAAACCTTAAAACTCACGTGTGAGTCCCCGGGGTACGCAACCGAGGCGTGGTGCTACGAGAGAAGAGCTGCTTGGGTCTCAGGGTGGAGTCCTCTCTCGAAATGAAATGCTTCGACGCTAACAACGTGTCATACCAAACACAAACGCCCCTCCCGCCCTCCGCTCGTTTGCTGCAATGATGCAGGACAGAGCTAACGATGCAGAGCACTCTGTATATTCCGATCTTCACTGAATTATCTCAGCTAAAGCTTTGCCATCAAGTAGGGGTGTAATTGATAATGGACAGATTCATTGATTATCGATATGAGATTCCTAAGATGAAGACGCGTTCGTCAAATCGTGGCAAGAAACAATGTTTTTTGACTCGTCAGGTTTTGCAATGGGTATCAGCATCCACTCGAGGCTACTACATTCACCGCAATGTGTAACAAAAAAATATTGATTCTGGAATCGAATCGCTACCCTTAATCGTGACAATTCACCGGATTTCCAGGAGAGGTACATTGTTAATCCCCTACTGTTCAGTGTCACCTCAAGCCCCAAAGTCCACCCATACACACAAAATTCATAAACACCAACACACACATTCATAAACACCAACACACACACGCGTGCACCCAGTCATATATGCACACACTTATTACGTGAACACACAAAAAGCACCCACCAATACACAAATTCACACGCGCACGTGCGTGCGTATGCTCACATACATTCATGTACGCACACGTCCGCTCACTCGCTCGCACACTGTAAGCTAGGCATGTAGGGAATTACCTCTCCACTCCAGCAATTCATTGAGCTGCCACAAATTGATGTCGATTCGATTGAGTAATCAATTCGCCTCGTCTGGTTTTTGCGTCTACTTATATTGCCTCATTTCTTTCCGTCTCGTACAGTTTTGTTCGGATCCACTAGTCCAAATGCAACTTTTTAGTATCGTTTGCATATGATTTGCATAAATCGTAAATGACCGATAGTTACGCACACAATTCCATACATGTATTATGAGCGCAAAAATATATTTCAATCGATGAATCGATACATGCCTAGAGTTTAGCATTAAGTCCCAAGCACACCGGCCAGCACACACACACAAAGCTCCCCCGTATAGCTGCACAGGCTGTTGGGGCAAGTGCTATCAGCGAGCACCTGTGCACATGGGGCACGGCACACAAAGAGGTAGGGTGTGGCAACAACACCCTGACCACATTTCTCACCAGTGCGCGCACACACACACACACATAAACACAGGCAAGAATTTTCTCCAGCACACCGGAAACCCTGCAGAAACCGTTGCCGGCAAAAGCCCACCATTCACCTCTAAGCTAAAGCGTGAAAGTAAAAGCCAACTCAACGCAAATCCAAAGCGCGCCGAGCGAGCGGGTTAAGTGCGGTGTGGGGCAAGGCCAGAAAATCAAACCCAGGCTCCGCCTTTGCCACGGCGGCTCACCGCTTCGGCCACTCCACGCATCTGACGAGTGGCCCAGCTTGGGGGTGGCCCTATCTGGTGAGTGTCCATCTGGTGGTGGGTGTTCCCATCAAGTGTTGAGTGGCACCATCTGGCGACTGGCCTGTTTCACGGCTCCAAGTGCGATGTTAGATAGTCGGTTGGGTTTATTCGTGGAAATGAGTTGCCCTCTCTGCCAGCTACTGTCCTCCGTACGTACCCACCCCCCTCCACCACACCCCCCCCCCTTCCTGCCAAACCCCTCCTGCCCCCCCGCCCGCCCCCGTGGGATGGGTCCTCAGAGCAGATTGTTGTTGCCGAAGATGTTCTTGGGGTCCACGTAGTCCTTGACGGCACGGAGCATTCCCACTCCGACGTCCGACACGGCTGAGGGCAGCCAGCGCTTGCGCAGCTTCCCCACTGTGGCACGGAACAAGCACAGTACCACACACAGAGTACCGGTGTAAATACGACGTGAGATGGACAGACAGCACATAGTACCACACACAGCGTACCGGTGTAAATACGACGTGAGATGGACAGACAGCACATAGTACCACACACAGAGTACCGGTGTAAATACGACAACGTGAGATGGACAGACAGCACATAGTACCACACACGGAGTACCGCTGTAGATACGACGTGAGATGGACAGACAGCACACAGAAACATTATTACATACATTTGGCTAGGAAGCTCAGCTGTAGAGCGAGCGGAAAATCCTGGTTGGGGAAAGACTCCGCCCACCATCCCTCTGTGCGTAATAACACGAGTACAGGGACTCCTCTCTACTTACGATTATTCGACTTACAAACTTTCAGAGATACGAACCAAACCTGTTCGGACCGAGAGTTGTGAGTTTAACCACCGCGCAATAGATGGCGATAGTGGCATCTACATCTGCAGGAGATTATACAACTTTTAAATCCATTCCCCGTGTTTAGTGTACATGCCGTACAACGTGTTTGGAATTGACAGAAGTAAAGCTGGACCAGGATTTGCCGCTCTGGACTTATGAACAGATAAATTTACCAACAGACCTCTGGAATCTAACTCGTTCGTAAGTAGAGGAGTCCCTGTACCACGAAGTGAGGAAGTCAGCAGTGGTCCTATACTCACCCCCCTGCCCTAACAATGTGGAAGTGCCACCACTGACTCAGAGCTGTAAATGGGGGATGGGCACCGCCTAAATGCTTTTAGCAGAAAATCACTTTGATTTGGACAACACAGAAACCAGTGGACGCACTTTAAACACAACACACACAAAACCAAATGGGCACAGCAACCCGCAGAGGCCGCCACCACCACCACACACGAGCGTGACGGGCGCACGGCCGCTCAATGCTGGGAATTTTTGAGCGGCGAGCGATGCCGTGCGGGGAGAGAGACATCTGCACGCGTGGCACGGTGGCGAGCCGGGAGAGAGAGAGAGAGCTCGCCGAGCTTGGGAAGAGAGAAAGAGTGGCACGCTTGGCACTTGCGCCGGTGCGCGATGGCGGCAGTGACGGCGCTGCTCACCGCCGTGGTGGTGAGAGAGGCTGCCCCCGTTCGCCAAGACCTCTTCTCGCGCTGCGCTCTGCCGGGAAAAAACACGGAACGGGGAATTGATCGCAGGGGGGGGGGGGTTGAACCAGGGGGGCAGGGGGAACCATGGGGCCGTGACTCAAGTGCATGTGGCCCACAGCCACACGAGGCCTACCGATTATAAATGGCCCCAAACTATATTTGCCTTTGTCGACTCTGATTTTCTCATTATTCCAAAGCCCAGACTCTGCCCTACTGGAGACAGAACCTTTTGCAGCCATCCTCCACAATTATAGAATTCCCTTCCTCGGTTCGGGAATCTGAGTCTATTTTACTTTTGAAATTGCGTCTTAAAACCCACCTGTTTTTACAACAGGCTTTCTCCATTGGCCTTGTGCGAACTGCGCTATGGCAAACCGAGTTTATTATTATACGAGCTAAACTCTATTTGGGTGCTACGGGTGAATATTTTCAGCCTGTCAATACTTTTGTCACTGCCAGGGACCTCTCGCGGTACCAGCGAGCAACGTGCGTACATTGCTCACCGCTAGAAACGACGCGGGGCTATTGCAGCAGCGGGCGCTAGGGGGCGGCCTCACCTCGATCTGCTCGTAGACGTGCACGGGGTCGCTGAGCCCGCGGTAGTTGAAGGCGAAGTAGAAGTAAACGCAGGCGCCGGCGTCGTACGTCTGCGTCACCCTGCGCCAACGACCACCGGGGTAGCGCCGGAGAGGAGAGGTTAGCCTTTGACCACCGTGCGGCGGTTTCTGTACGTGGCCCCGATACAACCCGCGTATGACGACGTCGCATGACGTGTCAATCGAAACCAAAAGCTTTGCCAGGGGGTCGGGGATCCATCCGAAATGAAGGCGGTAAAGCAAACGCAATGATCTTGTCGCAGTCAGTGGTGACCGGACTTTTTACCGTCAACTTGCTACATTTGGTAACCTGGTTTAATCACAGTCCGTGGGTCTCAATGCGAGCGTACGAGTTTCCATTTAAGTCTTAAGTCTATGGATCTCTGTGAGCCCGTTAACTCCAGTAGAGAAAGCGGTTTTATCGATTGCAGATTGGTTTCTATGCGGGTCATTGGAGGCTGCGCTGACGTCAGCTGGCTACACTTTCATCACGGGCAGCAGACACTAACCCAGATTCAAACTCAAGGTCTTTGTGGTGCCAAGCTCAGCGTTTTTGGCACGACCAGTATATGAACCCCTGGAGAGTCATCCTGTCCACCACCACCACGACCACCAACGGCAGACGATCTCGATCAGTCAAATCAACCTCGTCGGCGCACGAGGAAGCTGTGCCACGGCGGTTTGGGATGGCACAGCAAGCGATGCTGTTTGCTCGAGATAACGGCGTCTCCCCCCCCCCCACCGAGCAACCGCTTTGATCTGCGTGCCGGGTGCGGGCAAACAACCTGCAAGAGGCAAACGCCGGGAACTGCACCCCTCGCTCTTTGCTCTCGCGGATGAGACACTCCTTCACGTTCCGGCACAGATCCAGGACTCTGCACACGCACGCACGGACACGCACAAAGACAAAGAGTCCCCTGTGTAGCCTTAACCAGACTGTTGGGGCAAGTGCTGTTAGCGGGCACCTATGAAGGCCGGCACGGCGCACGAGAAGGTCAGTGGCCAATACTACGCCCGGCCGCCTTTGTCTCCCCAGTGGTGATGTTTACACACCGCACCAGGTACTCATTTGAGGCTGAGTTGACCTAGGGGAGACCCAGGACCGGTTCAGATAATCGTCACTGGTGTTGGGCGTGAGCAGGAATCGAACTCAAGTTCACCATTGGTAGCGCAGCGCGCTTACCGCTACACTACCGCTCCCCAGGGACACGCACGTACACGCACGGACACACACGTGCAAAATGTGGATATGTGCGCACAACGCAGCACATGCACATAGCCTTCACAAACCGTAGGGGCAAGCGCTGTTAGCGAGCACAAATGAAGGTTGAAATGGCACACGAGGGGGTGGTGTGGTCAGAACCACGCCCGGCCGCCTCTGCGTCCCCAGTGTTGAGGTTTTCAAATCGCACCGACTGGATTAAAATTCGGGCGGCCGTGTTCGTAAGCGCAGTACACCAACCACAGCTACGGAGCACTCTCCGCACACGCGTGTTAAAACGCGCGCGAGCGCGTGGGCGAGCGGGGTCAGCGCGGTCTTTGTCTGGCGCTCTTGGCCTGGCACAGCACAGTGCTGTCACGCAAACAACTTCGAACATCGCGTCAGGAGACACGGAATACGTGCGGACACGCGTGACCTTGCATACCCCACCCCCCGGCCCCCCGTAGGTGAGAAACCAACGGTCGAACGAGTATTTCTTCAAGTTACTCTCGGTTTCAAAGTAACGTCGTGCATTTTATCCCAGGGGCAAATTTATTCAGCGACCCGAAACAATGCTGGGAAAAGCGCTGTGCTACACCCTCAGGTTACCATCGTGATTGCCATTGCCACCACGATGGCGAGCTGTTAACTACCTCGCCTGGTATACAAGAGGTCGTGGGTTTGATCCGGTCCCTGATGTCTGTATATTTGGAGTTTGCGTGTCTCTCTTCCCGCGGTCGCGTGGATATTTCTTCGGGTCCTCCGCTTTTTCCCTCCACATTTAGAATCAACATCACGAATGTTGGCTGCTATGAATTTCCACGTGATAAGCCACTTCGTTGAGCTATTATTTGTGACAGCCAGGTCACTTCTGAAAAAGAGCTGCATAGCCCAGTGGACCTTACCTGGTAAAATACAACAAATGTTTAAATAGTTTAGTAGTTACCTGTCCCAGGGCACAGACGTCTCAAACGACTCCGCGATGATATAGTAGTCCATGCCCAGGTCCTGTGAGTGACAAGACGGACAGAGCGGAGCACAGCGGAGGTTCAAGATGTTGTGGTGTACGTCCGGGAACAAGTCTGATCGGAGCTATGCAGAGAAGGAAGAAGATCGAGAATCTCGACGGGTCGTACTGCCAGAGAAGCAGGCTTGCCGAAGGAAGCTTCAGAAGCATGTTGGGGATAATAAAGCAAAGATGAAGGAGGAGGAGGGAGGAGGGAAGAGGTAGGGAAGGAGGAAGTCGCTGCTCGATGAGGTGAGGCTGAGTGACGCAGCGAAGAGGAAAAAGTTTGAGAGATGGACCAGGATGGAGGAGGAGGGAACTCGAACTTTGAGCCCACCCTGCAGCAGACAACTCGAGAAAGAATACCTGGTGAGGTCACTTGAGCTGGACATATTGGCCAGTGGATTTTTTTATTCCCATTGTCGTAGTTTTGTTTATTTTCGAGCGGTTTACTCCGCACGACGGGCGCCACACGCGCAGGCAAGCAGTGTCGCGTTGTGACGCGCGGCACCCGACGTCTGACTCACGCGCAGGTACGCAATGATGAAGGTGAGGAGGTACCCGCGCTGCCCGTTATCCTCGCCTGCCGCCAGGCCCCTGCAGCAACACAGCGCGGAGGGCAACGGCATGAGAGGCCAGGGACGGACGGCATAGAGAGGGGCAGGTGTCCACAAGGGGTACGGTCCCCGCGATAAGGTCGTCGCTCAGCGAAAGGGTCTGCGGAGGCAGTGCTTGCAGGGCAGGGTCTACAGGAAAAGTCTGTACAAGGGCAGCAATGGGCAGCCACTATATCGAGGAACCCTTGACGTGGACATAGACTATGATAGGGGTAACTCTCTAATAGAGATAGTCTCAATAAGGGCAGCCCGAATGAGGACAGCCTTAAAAATGGCAGCCTCAAGAAAGGTAGCCTCGATTGGGACATCTTCAACAGGCGGAGTCCGTACTTGGGCAGCAACTACGGGGGGAGCCTTTGCAGTGGACTGGGGCAGTGTGAACGGAGGGCAGCGTCTGCGAGCGGGACTGGGGCAGCATGTATGGAGGGCAGCGTCTGCGAGCGGGGCAGCCTGGCCCAGGAGGGCACCCTCACCCGAACTTGGCGGCGATGTCGTACACGTGTTTCTCCTGCTGCAGCACGGCATCCCGGTCGCCCTCGAACAGCAGCGTCGCCACGCACAGGTGCTGCGGGTCGAAGCCCTTGAACTGCGACGGGGGTCACCGCAGACACACGCACGGACGCACGGACACATGCGCGCAAACTCTTGAATTACAGGTAGCCAATCGCAAAAGCACGGAGCGTCGTGAATTACACAAGACGCACAGCTGCTGTGAACTACATCAGGGTCATTACACGGAGTATGGACATGTACATACATACGCGCGCACACGCACGTACGAACAAAGACAAGTGGTCACTCGTGAATTACACAAGCACAGGGAATACACACACATAATGCGAGGACATATGCACACACACATTAATGGTTGTGAGTTATAGGCATACACAGGCGCACGATGGCACACACGCGCACCAGTAAACTACGCATTCTCTCACACAGCCCCTATTAAACAAAATAATCACATTCACAAACCCTTACATCAAAATTACATGCACAGGTAGGTACAAACCTCTGCAAATAACTAATTTACTCAGTCACATGCCCTGAATTATCTATTATTTACTGACCCACCCGTACCCACACCTCCATCCACCCACCGCTTCACCCATACTCACCCACCCACCACACCACCAATATTCATCCACCCACCCATCATGACCCACCCATCCACCCACACCCATCCACCCATACCCACCCACACCCACCCACCCACACAACCACTCCCACCTGCGCACCCATACCGACCCACACCCACCCACCTTGGTGATGTAGAATTTCTTGAGGCCGTCCAGGAACGATGTGAAGATTGACGAGACCTGCGGTTTGAGCGCGTGCCCTGAACAGCGGAGATGGTGACCCCACATCAGTCTGGGGTTCGTGGTGTGAGGCGTGTGGTTTGTGGTTCGTGGTGTGAGGGGTGAGGCGTGTGGTTTGTGGAGCGAGGGGTGAGGTGTGTGGTTCGTGGCGTGAGGGGTGACATGGGGAGCGGTCGTACCAAACTGAAACTGTGAGTTGTCGACGAGGCGGATGGAGGCCGGCGCACATCTCTGCACACAGCACCACAACAGCAGCAGCACAGCGGCCTCAACGATCGAGTGTGACAAGCCAGGGTTAGGGGGCAAGGCAGGATGAGGGGCAGAGCATGGCTATGAGCAGAGGGGCAAGCCTCAGGGTCTCACCTGGCGAGCGACCTCACGCAGGCAGGCCACGCCCTGCTCAAACGACGGGAAAACCACCGAGCCGTACTTCTGGGACTGGGGCAGCGGCCGGATCTTCATGGTGACCTCGGTCACCAAGCCCAGGGTTCCTGTGGCAAACACACGCACGCACGGTTAAACACGCAGTAACATACACGCACGCATGTACACGTGCGCACATGCGCTCATACACGAACATGCGCAAACGCACACATACATGTACACACACACAGATGTATAGGCACACAGATGCACATGCGCGCACACGCATGCATGTTGGCACATACACGTGCAAACAAAGACAAAAAATTCCACCCATCCCCCCCAACGTGTAGCTGACGTTTGCTGTTGGGGCAGGTGCTGTTAAGCGAGCACCTGCGCAGCGCGCAGGCACGGTGCGCGAGGGGGTGGGGCGGGGCGTGGCAGGCACTCTCAGCCTCACGTTGAATTTACCAAAAAACCACGGAAAGTCAAATCAAATGTACGCGGAACATTCTTTCGCACACCGTGCTTAGTCTAACCGTGCTCATCGGAGGTGCGAAAAAAATGTGCATGCGCCGCCGATCGCCTAGCAGCAGCCCGATGACCCGGCCGTGACTCCGGAGGGGCTGTAACTCTGGCACGTGACAGATGCGTCGGCCGGCCACGAACAACGCTAAAGTTCAAACCCCGGTCACAGGCTGGGGGAGGGGGAGTGGCAAGCCGGCTGAGACAGGAACACAACACAAATTCCTGGAGTGACCCCACCGTGACCCTTGGAGTTCATAACCTCTGGGGAGGAAGGGGGGGGACTGCGCCATGGTGGAGGAGGGGGGTGTGGGGAATCTCATCCGTGTAACGATGGTCGCCGCGATAAGGCGATGCTACGACGGACTGCCGCAAGGTGCAAGCTGCACGATAGTCGCGCGGTCCGTCTTGCAAAATATCGTCAACGTCGTGATTATATTATCACTTCATTTATCTTTAATTACACCAAATGGCGAATAGCAGCTGTTGTCGTTACTGTGCGTGTGTCTGCGTGTGCGGTGCTCGCTAACAGCACTTGCCCCGAGAGTCTGTCAAGGCTATACGGGGGATCTTTGTTGTTTGGAGTTACCCTCGGAGCCCATGATGAAGTGGTGAACGTCGGGGCCCGTGGAGGTGCGTGGGCCCTGGCAGCTCTTCTCCACCACGCCGCGTGGTGTCACCACCTTCACATGCACCAGCTGCACGCGCAGCACACGCACAAACCGCCACGGTAATCGTCACATGCAGCGTTACCACGCAGCGATAGGGATTGGGGTAGTGATAGGGGTTGGGGTAGTGGTAACGGTTAGGGTAGCAATAGGGGTTGCGGTAGCGATAGGGATTGGGGTAGTGGTAGTGGTTGGGGTAGTGATAGGGATTGGGGTAGTGGTAGCGGTTGGGGTAGTGATAGGGATTGGGGTAGTGGTAGCGGTTGGGGTAGTGATAGGGATTGGGGTAGTGGTAGCGGTTGGGGTAGTGATAGGAATTGAGGTAGTGATAGGGGTTGGGGTAGTGATAGGGGTTGGGGTAGTGATAGGGATTGGGGTAGTGATAGGGATTGAGGTAGTGATAGGGGTTGGGGTAGTGATAGGGGTTGGGGTAGTGATAGGGATTGGGGTAGTGATAGGGGTTGGGGTAGTGATAGGGATTGAGGTAGTGATAGGGGTTGGGGTAGTGATAGGGGTTGGGGTAGTGATAGGGGTTGGGGTAGTGATAGGGGTTGGGGTAGTGATAGGGATTGAGGTAGTGATAGGGGTTGGGGTAGTGATAGGGGTTGGGGTAGTGATAGGGATTGGGGTAGTGATAGGGGTTGGGGTAGTGATAGGGATTGGGGTAGTGATAGGGGTTGGGGTAGTGATAGGGATTGGGGTAGTGATAGGGGTTGGGGTAGTGATAGGGGTTGGAGTAGTGATAGGGATTGAGGTAGTGATAGGGGTTGGGGTAGCGGTTGAGGTAGCGATAGGGGTAGGCCTGGTCGTAGCTGGGGGGTGGGGGCAGGGAGTAGCGGCAGCAGGATGGGCGAGGGAGTAGAGATGGTGGCTGTTTTAAGGGAGGACGGAGGCAGGTTAGCAAAGCACCGCCATACCCAGAACTGTGACACGGCGCATCGTCTCCCAGGGCATCATCACACGGAGTCACGGTGTCACCAGGCGGTGTCACAACATGCGTGCCCCCCCCCACCCCGCGGCATGTGTGGCTTCTGCCGCTGCCTCACCATGTCCTCGATGTTGCCGTAGACGTTCTTCTTCATGCCGGAGGCGCGCGTCGCCACCCACCCGCCCAGCGAGCTGAACTCCATGGAGTCAGGCTCGTGGCCCGTGCAGTAGCCTCGCTCGCCCAGCTGAGATACACGGGGGGGGGGGGCACGGAGATACGCGAGATATAGAGACACACGAGACACGGGGACACGTGGCTTCGTGATACGCAGACATGAGAGCACGTAGATATCAGAGTACGTGGGCGTAGCAATGCAGGGGCACGAGGACATGGAGACACAGGCATACGTGACAAATGGAGAAATTCAGATACGGGGACATGGGGATATGGTGACTTGGGGGGCCCGTCGGCATGGGGCCACGTGGACAAAGGGACAAGGGGATACGCTGAGGGGGGAACGCCGCGGACAAAAGTTGCACCATCCATCGCACGGGGGCATCATAAACGCGCACACACGCAGGGCGGCTCCGACCGTTACACCGCCACAATTGGGTCAAGCATTCAATTATCCCAATCGTAACGCTGGAGAGGGGGGAGGGGACCAGGTTAAAGCCCCAGTTAGAGGCCACGGGGGAACTGGGGTATGGGCGTGGGGAACTTGGCATGGGTGTCCGCGTGCGTCATCGTCATCCCACCTCTCTCTCCAGGTCCTGCCCGATGATCCCCGCCTGGATCCGTGCCGTCAGATTCATCTCGTCGATCCACAGGATGCGGTTCTGAAAGGGAGGCGCAAGCGGGGTTTGTGGTACGGCGCAGACTCTTTAACTGGAGTGTTAAATGGCGTGTTAACATCTCGCCTGGTATGCAGGAGGTCGTGGGTTCGATCCAGACCCTGATGCCTGCTACTGTGTATTCGGAGTTTTCGTATCTCCCTCTCTCTATCGTCATCACGGTCGCTAGGAGATGTTAACTGGAGTTTGCGTATTCTCCTCGTGGTTGAGTGGATTTTCTCCGGATCCTCCGGTTTTTCCCTCCACATTTATAAACATGCCTTTAGAGTATTTTGTTGCTATAAATTTCCACACGAAAAGCCACTTTGTTGAGCTATCATTTGTGGCCAGGTCGCTTCTGAAAAAGAGCTAATTAGCTCAGTGGGCCTTACCTGGTAGAATATAAAGTTTTATAGTTTCAGTTTAATGTTTGGTGGAACCTACGAGCCTTGTGGAGTGCATGCTGGACCCTCTAAACCAGTGGTAAGGAACCTAACGGATATGGTCCAAGACTTTAGTTCATACGCATTTCGGGCACAAAATTTAGAAATGGTCCATAAATGACAGTGATTTGGCTGAGCTGCATTAATCAGGAACTAGAGGGCAATATTTACGACCCGACTAGAACCCGGTGTTCTAATTATAATTTCACACTCACTGAAAAGGGCCTCTGTACAATCGGTCGACACACACACAATATTTATAGGATGTGTGGTTGCCCGCCAAAGGAATTTGAGACTCCTATTTGGCCCTCAGTGAAGAAAAGCTTCCCCACTCTGGGCCTAAAACCCTGCAAGGCATGGTGGCCTCTATAAACCCTGCAGAACATGTGTTTGGGGCCCTCTTAGTCCAAAGGGGGGGGCCCTTGGGGCCACAGAGCAGACGGTGCGAGTGAGCGAGCAGGCAGGCGGCAAGCCGTACCATCTGAGACGTGTCGACGGAGACGATGGTGCGCGTCTCGTCACTGGGACACTCGAGGGCGCTGGATACGCTGGTGCCGCCTGCCAGGACAGGACACAAGCACGAAGACATGGGGACGGGAAACACGCGCACTCGTCACAGATGTGATTTTGCGGCCGTCTGGAACGCCGTTCCCTTCTGATATTCGGAAACCACTGGAGCTATGCACTTTTAAATGTAGATTGCAAACGTATTTCTTGATAAATGCTTTTTGTGTTTAGTTTGTTGTCCTTCCCCCGCACCTCCGATTAGCACAGTTGGCTACGTACAGTGCAAAAGAAGTTGAACGTACACACATACACACACATACGGTTGGCTACGTACGGTAGTTCAACGTACGTACATACCTAGTTTGAGATGGACACGCGGCGTTATGGAACACGACACTCAAGTGTCAACCGCAACAGGGCATGTGGTGCACATTAGAGCGTTGCGTACGCAGAGTAAACATGCGAGAATTATTGGCGTGATTAACGGGTGAAATGGAGGCAGCTGGATGGTTCAAAGGTCAGAAACGTGGAGCTGACACTGCTGAGATCACGGGTTTGTCACGACTGCGATTAAATGCAGTTCTCAAGTCGAAGGTTCCCGCCCAGCCACCAATGAATGTATAATATAATTGTCATGTTCAAATGTTGGTGTTTTCTATTTTCGATATTTTTCATTGGGATATATTGTAGCTCAAGCGATGAACATCTCTCGAGCAGGGCAGGTAAGAAAGCGTGTGGATAAACGAGGTCATGCGAATGGATCTAACAATCAGTTCTGCGATATCTCCGTCAACGGATCATTCTCTAATAGAGTTCCGAACGCGCACTTTGTCTCACGACACAACACCGAGAGGACAATCAGAACAAAACTGGTAACAAGACAACAACAAATGGGAGAGTCGATCTACAACGGGCATGTTGTAGAAAACTCTAACATGACGGGTACAATAGATAATTATTACCATAAAAACTATGTCAACATCATGTCTACCCGCCGCTTCTCTGCGTTTGCTTTGAGTGACCACAGGGTTCAAGAGTATACAGTGGTGCGGAGTGTGCACGGGCAACCGGGAAACGCATCCACAGCCAGATGAAAGCGGTGATTGGGAGGTGGCTGGGTGGCTCAAGAGGTCTGTGCTCTGAGCTGCCACCATTGAGATCCTGGTGCCAATCCAAGCAGCCGTCAATGGTTATACCGGTTTATAAGTGCAGGCAATTTGCTGCCCTTAGCCTGGTCTCCAATGACTTTGTACGTATAAATATATGATATGTATTAAAATTGGTTCTACAGTTAATTTGTTTAAATCCAATTCTGAGAATTAAAAATATTGCTTTGACTGTAATTTAACGAACATTACACTCACGTAGCAGAGCGGGTGAAAAAGTGCTGCCCCCTACCTGGAAACAAGGCCACTCAAAGCAATGTTGAAAACAGTTATGTAATATCCGAGTCTGTGTTGCAGAGCGGCCTGGCTGTCGCCTGATGAAGCTAGTTGTAATTACTGGCGAAACGTCGTACCCAGATTGTAAATGTTGTGGCTTTGCTCTCAAACACACCGGTGTGCTGTACTAGTAACGAATTAGCACGTTCTGTTTACGTGACAAACCTTACTAATTGGCTGTGTCGGGTGGTGGCAGGTTGAACGACACATTTATATATTTTAGCGATCTAACACAAAAAAAAACTGTATTCGGGATGATATTGGTCGCGAAAGCCTACGTGTTTAGGCTTTCGAAAAAAACTAACGGATTTTTGGGTCTAATGACACGATGCCAATAGCACTATTGGGATTACATTCGGGGAAGAGATGTTTATCATCTTCTTGTTTCTTTCGGTAAAGTCACGTAGAAGGGAAGTAATAAAATAATAAAAATAAAACATAATAAAACAATTCTCACGACGTTTCGGCTACAACGCAAGCAGCCGTCTTCTTCACCTGAAGACGGCTGCTTGCGTTGTAGCCGAAACGTCGTGAGAATTGTTTTATTATGTTTTATTTTTATTATTTTATTATATTATTTTATTACTTCCCTTCTACGTGACTTTACCGAAAGAAACAAGAAGATGAATCCCTGCAGTCACGAAAGCTTTAGATGTTTATCAATTTAGTTCTTTATTTGTTTCGCAATTTGTGCTAAGTGGCGTCGCACACACACGGAACGCACCGCCATATGGGATGATGCAGACGTTGTGCTGCACAGCCAGCTCCACGATCCGCACCACGTCTTCATGGCTGCCTGCGACCCGTCGCAAAACACGGACATGGGCAGGCATGTAATGGATCCACGTTCCTCCCCAGCCATCGATTCGATGATGACGAGGATGATGATGATGAGCATGGGCAATGTTATTTACAACAACAAAAAATTCTAACTCACGAAATATAATTGTCCATAAAGTAGGCTCTTGGTTACAGTAGGTAAATGAAGATGATACAGTAGGTGAGTTTAACACGCACCGGTGTGCTGCCATCGTAACCAATGGGAATGTTTTGTTTCGTGACAAACCTCACTAATTGGCTGTCGGGTGGTGGCGGGTTTAACGAGAAATGTATATATTTACACGATCTAAACAAAAAAAAAACTGTATTATGTACAGTAGGTGAATGAAATGGATGGAAAAAGTTAATGATTAAGGTCATTGTGCAACCATGTCTGTAGGGAGATGATGCAATAACAGTGGATTGTAAAGTATCCCAATCAGGTTAGCATGGGTTATAAATATATATATTAAGTAATAATTAATAATATAAAAAAATATATATAACTACAAACATGTTGGCAAGTAAACCGATGGATTACTTTCATAGACACATTCTGCGGCTTCACCAGCATTCTACGCAGCTAAACAATAATTGCACGCTCGTAGTTTAATTGACATTTGTTTGGCGCTATCCGTGTTTTAGTTTTACGCTGGTCACTCCTCTGCCGCATCACCCTGGATAAACATGGGTAGATGGTATTACCTGTAATTAAAGCGAACCAGCTAGGTGAGCGGCTCGCAATGGGAAGACTGCGAGCTTAAAATTCTGGATGGGTGGGGCGTTCACTGAGCCCATCATCTCTCTGGGGTGAATAAAATTGATACCACGTTGCGGAAAGTTCACAACAGTGGTTTCCCTCTGGATGGACTATAAACTATTTATATTTTACCAGGTAAGGCCCACTGAGCTATATAGCTATTTTTAAGACATGACCTGGCCACAAATGACAGCTCACATTTTGGCTTATCATGTGGAAATGTATTGCAGCCAAATACACATTTAGAATCAACGCATGCTGATTCTAAATGTGGAGAGGAAAACCAGAGTACCGGGAGAAAAAAAATCCACACGCCCACGGGGAAAACACGCAAACTCCAAATATACAGGCATCAGGGTTGAGATCAAACCCATGACGTCCTGTATACCTCGCAAGGTACTTAACATCCCGCCACCGACGCACCCAACCCTGCCATAGAAATGTGGAATTTCCACCACCGGCTCCCGATTGCCAATGGGAGATGAGCACCACTTCCATTGCTGATTTAAAGTGGAATATTGGTTGGAATTCCCCAGAGACGCTCACCGGGCCACACAACGAGGTCGGGAACTCGCTCCAGCCTGCCCTCCCGCAGAGCGAAGATCTCATGCAGGCAGTGACCTGCGCAAACGACACAGGGGTGAGAGAGACAGAGAGAGAGAGTGGCGGTGGTGTGCGGTGGGGTCAGAGGGCTGCTCCGGTCAGCGAGGAGTTTACGCTCCGCCCAGTTTCTTGACCCACCGCCCGGACCTTTGCAAGTACATTTATAAACACCCAACACTTATAACCTTGTCACGAGTATGCAATATTCGTACATAGCAAGCTCTATTAAACAGTTGTGTCTTGCATCTTCTACCGAACTGGTTAAATGTCTGCGAAGAGTCTCGAACATTGCGCAGCGTCAGTGAGCTCCAGGCCGATGGACCACTGACCGAGAAACTGCGAGGTCAAAATATCGCCGTCTTGAGTGCGCGGAAGGAGCAGGTCACCATGAGCTGTCATGTTACTATTGTTATTTAGATTATTTGGAGCACTTGTCAATCCACTGTCTGGATGAAGGCCTCTCCACACGGTGTCGGTCACAGGAGTTGTTGTGATCACAAACGAGTAAGCGTGCGAGGACTGCACGGGGCGGGAGACCGACCGTGCGCGCGGAACAGCCGGTCCTCGGGGTCCTCGGACATCGGCACCGCCGCTCGCTGGAGGTCGCGCACGAACGCCTCGTTACGCACCGGCGGCGGCACCGCCTCCACGTTCACCGACGTCTGTGGACGGAAGAGAGAGAGATAAGACGGGAGACACGGGAGAGAGATATTGGAGACATGGGAGTGAAACAAGGGAGACACGGGAGAGAGACATGGGAGACAGACATAGGACACATGCGGGAGACAGACATGGGAGAGAGCTATATCAGCAGAATATTTTAACTTTAGAAAGTTGTTGGGGAACTTCATTAAGTTATTATTATTACCACCAAAAATGTTAAGAAAATGTGGTCACAGCATGCATACATTCAAATCCAGTCCAGTCGTCACTCAGGAGTCAGTCATTAAAATAAGTATCAATTTAAACCAATTCTCACATTATCCGTGTATGACGAAAAACTCGCCGCCGACAAAAAAGTGTGAGAAGTCTGCGCGCATCACACACGCTGCATAGTGCTGTCACGCTACTTGTAATGCTTGACGGGAGGACCGATGTTATGGTCACCGCCGCGTTGTTTGCCATGTGAATCATCGCTCTCGAGTACCACTGCTGGAAGTCAAAAAGTGTTCGTCTCTACGGGTGAACTTTGCACCGCCATGAGAATGTGGAATCGCCACCACCACCGTTTGCTAAGGTGGGAAAGCACACCCGCGCATCGCTGTGGTGCTCAACGCTGGCGCCAAACGTCTGCTCCATCCATTCCCGGAGCGCCGGCAACACCAGGCCGCTCACCCGGTACCTGCACCACACGGTGACACAGCCACAGGGTCGGCGCGTTAGCACCGGATCACGGTCGGGCGCCTACTCACGGTGGCCCCACCTGTTGCATTGTTTTTTCACGTCAACCTTCAATAGAACAAACGCCGCAATCTGTGTGAAATGGACGTCGTTAATTCAAATCCATTTGTGATCCGTAGAGCTAAATACTGAACGAAAAAGGCCCTGTTGAGGGCCAGAAACCGATCGTACGAGGTCTTCAAGTTGACCAACTAAGTGTCGACGGACTCTCAACGCCGACATGTGACGTCCTGGGCAGAAAAGTAAGGAAAAATAACATCGTTGTCCAGACGCATGTCGAGGCCTGCTGAAGCCCTCTCGTGGCTAGCAGACCGGTAAAGGCACACGACTCGTCACGACGGCCAAAGCTAAAGAAATTATGGATGTGGTGTGCCAGGTGCAAAAATATAAAACTTTCCAGGTCATCAACCTGGACAGACACGGCTGGTATTTATCCCTGAGTGGGCCACCATCATCAGCCTACGGCTGTGCAGTCCAGCTCGCCCGCTCTGATCCTAACCCATACCTGTCAACCCCTCATCAGTGCTGCCTACCATATCACAGACCAATTCAGACCTTATTGGTGGTCACCCCGTGTCCCTTATAAATCTCAACGTTCATCCTACAAAACCCCATCACAATAGAGAAACACAAACAAATAGACAAAAGCTACGGTTTGTTTTGCCTGCATTGAAACGGCGGTTCGCCGTATATGGATCTGAAACCTGAATTTCCCTGTACAAGAACACAGGGCAAACCCGTACGGGTTGACGGCTGTGACAACTGTTAAGGGAGTGGTCGTGAGGTGTGGTAGGAATTCCCTTCTCCTCCTCCTCACCTCTTCCCCGTGAACTCTGCCTGCCCCTTCTTGTTGAAGATGAATCTGGAGTCGGTGTACCCCCATCCGTTCCACTTGAGCAGGTCCTGTCTGCGAGGGGGGGGGGGGTGCAAGAGGGCGTATAGGGGAGCCGTGGGGATTGAGAGGGGAGCGAGGGGTGTGGATGAGGGGATGAGAGGGGACGAGAGGGATGTGGGGTTGAGACCGGGTCACCGGAGAACTTCACCTCGGCAATGAACCACCGTGACAGGTTTACCGATTTAACTTTGTCACCGTGAACTCTCACAAACGCACACGGACATCGGCACACCACCCACAAACACACCACACACCAACAACACGCACACGTCAGATAAAAGCACGCACCGTCACAGAAATGAAGGCGGACACACGGACGAATGTACTTCCAACTACAAGCACACAAAATACCCACTCATACCCAACACTAACTTACACCACACACACACGCGGAGACCAGAAGTGACAAACTCGCAGGCTCCTATTAAAGCATGCACAGAAACACAATCACGTACAGCCCTAAATTTCGATGTAAAGCTTTCGTGACTGTAGGGATTCATCTTCTTGGTTCTTTCGGTAAAGTCACGTAGAATGGAAATAAAACATAATAAAATATTTTATTATGTTTTATTTTTATTATTTCCATTCTACGTGACTTTACCGAAAGAACCAAGAAGACGTACAGCCCTGTGAGTCCGCGACGTCACCCACCGCCTGTGCCAGGCTAGGTGTACCACACACGCACCCGACACACGCACAGCCTCAAAACTTCTCGGCGCGCACCCCGCTCCGTCCTGCTGCAACCGCAATTCGCGAGCTCACCACGGCGCCTGTGCCAGGCTAGGTGCACCAACACACAAACTGACAGGAAAACACGCGGGCAATCTCCCTCCCTGCCTCTCTCCCTCTCGCACGCCGTCACCTGCGCATGGGTATGGTCCTGCTCGCGTCTCCCCCCTCCTCCTCCGAGGAGGAGGCGCATTGCTGCGGTGTCGCTCCCGTGCAGCCCGCCGCGGGCCGGGCCTTGAGGTGCCCCGCGATGAGACCGAGCCGCGCCCGGGCTCGAACCGCGTCCCCTCGCTCCGCGGCCATGACTCCCCACGGCAGCAGCAGCAGCAGCCTCCGCCTCCTCCTCTCCTCCGTCTCCTCCTCCCAGCAGCCACAGAGCCCCACGCCCGGGCCACGCCTCGCCCCGATGATGCCCCCTCGCACGCCGGCGCCATCTTACTAAGGGAGTGAAGTAAAACACACAAATCAGTCGCTCGCAGTCACCGCAGCTACCGCCACCCCCCCCCCCCCCCCATTCGCCAGGGCGCGTGACGCCGCCCCCCACCCCCCCGGAGCCGCCGGCAGTCTTCGTCGGAAATGGCGAGGCCAACTTTACCCCCTTATATTCTTAGGTTTTTTCGGTAAAGTCACGTAGGTAAAACATCAAAATTAATAAAAAATAAAATAAAGATCACGACGTTTCGGAGGCAACACAAACGTCGTGATCTTTATTTTATTTTTTTATTAATTTTGATGTTTTACCTACGTGACTTTACCGAAAAAAACCTAAGAATATGAATCCTTGCAGTCACGAAAGCTTCAAATCTAGAATTAATTTACCCCCTTACCAAGATGGACGGTCCTTTATAAAAAATCTGTTGCCGCTTGGCGATGACGTGCGCTGGTATGTCAGAGGAGTCGCAGGCCCGCCACGCCCAACAGCCCCCCCCCCCCGCCGGCCCCTTGTCGCGCGCGATTGGTTTGCGAGCGATCACGTGGTGGATTCACACAGCGCAGCTGATTGGTTGTCGCTGTGGTGGGTGTGCATCTTGTCGGAGAGAGGGGGGGGGGTCACTAGGGTCAGGGGTCACGCGGCGGCGTGCCACGTGGGTCGAATGTCTGCTCGCGAGCACGTGGTGGTGCCAAGTGGCTTCCTCGTCAGCCGTGGTCGATCCACTGCTGGGTGAGGACCTCTGTTTGTGGGACCCCGGTGTTTAAGTGAACATTAATAACACTTTTGATTTAAAGCTTTCGTGACTGCAAGGATTCATATTCTTGGTTCTTTCGGTAAAGTCACGTAGATTTGAAATAATATAAAACAATTACAATTCTCACGTTTCGACTGCAACACAAGCAATCAAAAATTTCTGTGAAATCCACAGCAAGAATATATTCTTGCTGTGGATTTCACACCTGATGATGATTGCTTGTGTTGCAGTCGAAACGTCGCGATAATTTGTATTATTTAATATTTATATAATTGTATTAGTTCCATTCTACGTGACTTTACCGAAAGAACCAATAACATTAATAACACTGCCTTAAAAAGTGTATCAAACGCGACGTGTATGGTAATGCACATTGCCCCTTCATATTGACTATATTGTCCAGAACGTTTTAAGGCCACATAATTGTTGACGCCTGTGTTGGCAGTTGTACTTCACGTTTGTCGCTGGCGAGTGAAGGCAGGGAGTCAACAGCAGCAGAGCACACAATGGCCTCGTTCTGCTGAACTGCGCAAACTCCCCGCCCGAAGCAGCCCCATTCCACCTCTGGTGATGGTTTTGGTAGTACATGTTGTTTATGCCATTTATTGTGAAAATTCCATCACAGTTCCTATGATTGATTTTTCATTGCTTTCATGGCTTTATTTTGGTGATTTCGAAAAGTGTATTGGTTTAGCTATGTTTGTTGTAGTACAGAGTTAGACTGATGGCCTTAATCTAAGTTGTCTTGTGGTTGTTGTTTGACTTGCATCCCACTAGGATTTTTGCACACAGCGTTGGTGTACGGTGTTTTTTTCTGCAATATTTTGCTGTCTTTTCTTGGATTTTCTGTTTGCACTTAGTCACATTCACTTTAAGATGTTTTTTGTTCATGTTTTTGTTTTCTGTTTGTTGCGGTTGCACCCGATTCAAGAGCCGAATGGCTCACAGGACTATACCTAATACATGAACTTGATCGCGCATCATCGGAGCGCGATCCCAAACTCAAAAGACCCCGCTTCGATTCTCGCATCGAACGGCATCGGGCGCTTTCTGGGTGCTTTTGTCAGATAACTCTGACTGAAGCACTTGTTTCTGGGAGATGCATTTTCCGAACATGACTTAACATCATTAATTGTACTGTTCAAACGGTACATACGGTGCGAAAGAAGTTCACGCATCAAGCCAGCATATTGTGTGCAGATTTAAGAAGTGGCATTGATTAAAATTAACTTATTGCACTAATTGTGTATTAGATAACTTTTTTATTTAAGTATCCTTTAAAAATCTGTGGGTTTCCATTCAAAAAGTTACGGGGAGATCAATGTAAATTCCGGGAGAGAAGTTCCCCTGCCCAATCCGGGAAGGTTGGCAACCCTGGTCGTAGGCGAAGTGGCCTTCATGGGGGTTAAATACAGGTACACACAATTTCAATTTTAAGTTTTTACCTACGTGACTTTACCGAAATAACCTAAGAATAGGGACACACAAACCAAAGAGCTCTGGCAGATACACGGCTAAGGCTGTGGCTGTCACGGAGAAGTATACCACGAATTTCAAATTAACTTAAAAATATTGGGTTTTAAAAGGATATCTTTTGAAAGCGGACTCGAATAAAAAACATCAGTGGAAACACAGAGTGCTTTTAGGAAAACTGAGCTTCGCAATGAAAAGCAAAATACTAAATAAAGTGTTCATTGATCTCAAAAGCATTGTGTATTCACCAAGACGACGCGGTGCACAAACTTGGAGGAAGAAAATGGAACAAACGCGGAATGAAAGTTGCGCCCAGACACATGGAATGATGCGCGCGTAGAGCGAAACTGTCGGCAAAGATGAGGCCTGAATCAATCGGGCGGATTAATTTTATTTGTTGTCGCGGACAAGAAACATTCAGCCTCAAGCCGTTACACAAGAATTTACCCGCGAAGGAAGCTTGGTCAAATATACATCGAGAAAGTTACAGCCAAAAAAAAAATCATTAACATTGAAAAGTCTGAGTTGCCAAAGAAAGGCATTGGAAGGAAAACACCATTCGGGTCGTGGACGGATCGAGTGACACTGATGAACCGTGTCGCACCACGTGTTCACACCACGTGTTCAGGGTTGCAGCGCGGTTATCAGACGACGTTGACTCCCGCGTTATTCGCTAACCACGTGTGCAATGGGGAATTGTTCCACATTTGTCAACCCGCGCGGCTTACCCCGTATTCTTTATGCAGGGGGATTGAGTTTTGAGGTCTATACGGCCTACGACCGTTTCAATGGACTTAATCTAAGTTGTCTTGTGGTTGTTGTTGTTTGACTTGCATCCCACTGGGATTTTTGCACACAGTGTTGGTGTACGGTGCTTTTTCTGCAATATTCTGCTGTCTTTTCTTGGATTTTCTGTTTGCACATAGTCACTTTAAGATGTTTTCTTGTTTTTGTTTGTTGCGGTTGCACCCGATTCAAGAGCCGAATGGCTCACAGGGCTATACCTAATAAATGAACTTAAACTTGAATAGGGGCAAAAAAAACCCCCATAATTTGTGACTTTGTGTTTCTTTCTTGTGATGGGACTTTGTCAGATGAACGTTGAGATTTATAATGGGCACGGGATGACCAATAAGGTCTGAATTGGTCTTTAATAAGGTAGGGCACTGATAAGGGGTTGACAGGTATGCTGTTGCCACCGTACACAAGTATGCAGGTATTGTAGGCAACACTTTTTCGGGGCAGCGATCGAAACGGTGGCGCTGGAACGAGGTTGGATACGACCGAAACAATAACAGAGTCCAACGTACACGCGCGCGCCTGCACAGCCACACGCAAGGAGATGAATCAAGTCGTGACGATCCCCCTTGCCGTGGGGTATTCAATCCGCTGCTGGATGAAAGCCTCGTTGAGCTGTCACCGTCCCTTGATCCTGCGATGTAGTAATCAGCCAATCACCTGGACTCGAGACGATGCCACCGTGCCCTGCATTAGTCTCGACCGCGGGTTGTGATGGCTTCTGGCCACGTGGCCTGCTCAAGCCCGTTTTCTATCGATAGTGCGACGCCCGTGTCATTCAAAACGTTCAACCTCTGCACGCTTCTTTTGCAAGCTTTTTATATTGTTCGCGTTCTTCACTTTGAATGACAAACCCTGCTCCTTGGGGCCTTCGTGGCTTCCCCTCTCGACGGCACGGATCTCAGAGGTATCTTGAGATCTCGTGACCTCTGGTGACCTCTGGTGACCTCTGGCCCACATCGTAGGGTTCAGCACTTTCCAACCCGCCCTGCTAAAGCGAGTGATGGTCGTCGCAAGCCAGCAACACAGATGTTTCATTCTCAGAGCTGGAATTTAGCCAGTAATTGGTGACCGGGCAGACAACATAAAGTCACTACACTTGAAAACCAAGTTTCACCGCAACGTGATGTGGGTCTCTGTGTGAGTCAGTGGCTCTCTATCTAAGTGTGAAATTCAATGGGTTCCTATTTGCTGTCACTGGAGACCCGTATGAAACCATCAACCCTCTGCACACGGGAAGCGTCGTGGATCCAAAACCCAGGATCCCAGCGGTGCAAAGCTCAGTGCTCTGACCTCGGAGTCACTCGGCCACCTTCCTGAAAAAAAAAAATCTTCACCACCTCTGATGGCGTGCCCTCTCCCCGTTGTCCGTGGCAGAGACATCGCCACGTTTTCGCCTAAATATTACGAATGGAAAGGACAATTCTCCTGCAACAACAACACGTGGAGTGGCTTCCGTTGTTCACAATCGCGTATCGAGACCCCCCCCCCCTCCAGCCAGGGTCGGTTTGATGTTAATTAGTAACCGATAATGGGGGGCTAAAGGGACTCGATGAGAAAGAACACACCTGGGCACCTGACAGGTGCAATTGACGTGCGTGCAAACAACAGAGGCCCTGAGATGGCAATGACCTCCAAGTGGAGGGGTGTGTTGATGGTGCTTGGGTTGTTCAACAGTTGTTCACAAGGCCCCTTGCACACGTGTGTTGGCGACGTTCCACATCTCACTCCACTCCCCTACCTCTCATCTCACTCTACTCCCCTCAATCTCCTACCTCTCTACTCTCATCTCACTCTACTCCCCTCCACGCACTCTCCTATCTCTCTCATCTCACTCCACTCCCCTCCACGCAATCTCCTACCTCTCCCCTCTCATCTCACTCTACTCCACGCACTCTCCTACCTCTCTCATCTCAC